TTGTGTTAGTTCTAATTTTACACTAGCACTATCACTATAACTAACACTAGACCGAGAACCAGAAACATTGGGGTTTAGCAGCACGTCTCTCAAGACGGCTAAACCCGAATGATTCTAGTTCTAGGTGTTATGTTAGTTCTAGTGATAGTGCTAATGTAAAACTAGAACTAACACTAGACCTAGAACTAGAAAGTATCGGGTTTAGCCGTGCGTCTGAAGACGAATCATTCGGTGCGTCTGAAGACGCACGGCTAAACCCGATACTTTCTAGTTCTAGGTCTACTGTTAGTTCTAGTTGTATTTCAATAAAAATATCCAACATAGCGATATTTTATGCTAACTGGCGCTACCTATCACCTACCAGCCGACTTAAGAGAGGTACCTACAGCTAAACGAAATGTTTAGTTCTAGGTTTAGTGTTAGTTCTAAAGCTAATATTAGTCTAGTTTTCTTTGTTATTTAGCGCTAGATTAATGTATATTTTTATTGAGCTATAACGGGCACTGCCTTCCCCGTATTAATCCGTTATATCGAGGTTTTAGTGTAATGTCAAATTATATTGACATGTTGCATTTTATGTGGGACAAAGTAAATAGTAGGTACACCCCAAAGATAGTAGAATCTAACAGGACTGCTACATCCCTTGACAATGTGCCCGCACACTAAGTCACATCATTTTCCACGCTCAGTTAACTGTCATTGTGTCTTATGCGTTTGGTGTGTATTTTTAGAGGTTATATCGTATATCGTAGACGTATTCATATTACCTTCAAAAGTAAATCAAATGTCTATCATATAACCTCTAAAAGCACACAGCAAACTCATAGAACTCAGTGACAGTTAACTGGGCGTGGCAAATAGTGTGACGTAGAGTATGGGCAACCAACCCGTAGTGGGCTACAAAACACCATTGTTGTTGGCGTTTGGGTACGCCCTAGTTTTTATTATGTTTAAACAAATAAGTAATTAAATTTGTAGTTATAGTTTACTTAAAATCCTCTCTGATTTTAAACCTCCCACCAAAATAGCTTCGAAAAATTACACTGTGTAAACGTGACTTTTCATTTTACTCCTCCGAATTAAAAAATAGAGTACATGTAGAAAACTTTATATGATATTTTATCAACAAATAAACTAAACAAATAAAAATACGAGTATTTATTAATAAATACGTAACAATAATTGATGTTGTATAAGCTTTTAATACAATAAATAACGTTCGGATTGAACGCTATAATTCTCTGATATGACATGGAAGTGACGGTTGGATGGATCATTCCGGTTTGCTGGTTGATCGGGGGTGGGCATTTAATTGAACCATAACTTGCGCGCGATCTCGCGAACGACGGACGGACATAGATGAAGAGTGTCGCGATTTATGGACGTCGTGATCGTAATAATCCCCCAGATTACAATTAGCTTTTGTGGCTGGCAAATGGCGTGCCACCCACGTGTCGATCGATGAAAACCCCGTTCCGGAAACGGTAAATGGCAGAGTCAGCGTTGCGAAGTTATCTCCGGATGTCAAAGGGAAGGTCGAAAGTTCAGACAGATATACGTCCAGGCGGAACTGTTCATTAAGGAATCTCATTAAAATGACCTACATTCGAATTTCGTTTTTAACATTTCATTGAAATTTCTTTTTAAATTATTAATTAATGTTTATTTCGATGCACATTTCGTCAATAAAAGTTCTAGAACTTTATTATTAGTCGTTTCTGAAATAAATCGAAGTCATAATATGAAGTGGTGTGGTCTAGACTCTACCTTTTAACACATTTATATGGCATTAATAAAGAAAATCGGAAAATCCTCTAAATTAACTTACATATTTGTGAACTTTGTTGAAGGTGAGATTAAAGAAAACTTTTTGAGGTTATAAAGGAAGGTTTGAAGGAACTAAATTTAAAATTTCCATGTTAAACAGTTCATTTTATACAAATTCAAACGTTTAGCAAAAAAATTCTTTTCTCAAAAACGCTTGAGATTCAAACAATGAAACTTCTTGAGGTTATAAAGGAATGTTTAAGGCTAAGTTACACCAATTTTAAAGTTTTCTAGATGAACTTATTTAATGTTTGTTAGAAATGTAATTAAGGACAGAAATTATTTTCTTCGAAACGGTTAGGATTTAAGAAATGAAACTTTCTGTGGTTAGAAATGAAGGTTTGGTGCAAGTTTGTACCAAATTTTAAATTTCTATAGTAAATAATTTATTAAATATAAACTTTTAAAAATCATTTATTTAGTTTAACGTTTCTCGAAATTGAGGTTAAAGCACGAAAACATTGTTTTCTCCAAAACGGTTAAAATTTAAGACATGAAATTTTCTGTGGTTACAAAGGAAAGTTTGATGCTAATTTGTACCATATTTTAAATTTCTATAGTTAACAATTTATTAAATATAAACTTTTAAAAATTACTTATTTATTTTGACGTTTCTCGAAGTTGAGGTTGACACAAAAACGTGGTTTTCTCTGAAACAGTTAGGATTTAAGAAATGAAACTTTCTTTTATTTATTTTGACGTTTCTCAAAATTGAGGTTGACACAAAAACATGGTTTTCTCTGAAACAATTAGGATTTAAGAAATGAAACTTTTTGTGGTTATAAAGGAAGGATTGGTGCTAATTTATACCAAATTTTAAATTTCTATAGTAAACAATTCATTAAATATAAACTTTTAGAAGTCACTTATTTAATTTGACGTTTCTTAAAATTGTGGTTAAGGCGCTAAAACATTGTTTTCTCCGAAACGGTTAGAATTTAAGAAATAAAACTTTCTGTGGTTACAAAGGCAGATTCGTAGCTAGTTTATATCAAATTTTAAATTTCTATAGTATACAATTTATTAAATATAAACTTTTAAATATTACTTATTTATTTTGACGTTTCTTGAAATTGAGGTTGACACAAAAACATGGTTTTCTCTGAAACAGTTAGGATTTAAGAGATTAAACTTTCTGTGGTTACAAAGGAAGGTTTGATGCTAGTTTGTACCAAATTTTAAGTTTCTATAGTTAACAATTCATTAAATATAACCTTTTAAAAATCACTTATTTAATTTGACGTTTCTCGAAATTGAGGTTGACACAAAAACATTGTTTTCTCTGAAATAGTTAGGATTTAAGAAATGAAATTTTCTGTGGTTATAAAGGAAGAGTTGGTGCTAGTTTGTACCAAATTTTAATTTTCTATAGTTAACAATTTATTAAATATAAACTTTTAAATATTACTTATTTATTTTGACGTTTCTTGAAATTGAGGTTGACACAAAAACATGGTTTTCTCTGAAACAGTTAGGATTTAAGAGATTAAACTTTCTGTGGTTACAAAGGAAGGTTTGATGCTAGTTTGTACCAAATTTTAAGTTTCTATAGTTAACAATTCATTAAATATAACCTTTTAAAAATCACTTATTTAATTTGACGTTTCTCGAAATTGAGGTTGACACAAAAACATTGTTTTCTCTGAAATAGTTAGGATTTAAGAAATGAAATTTTCTGTGGTTATAAAGGAAGAGTTGGTGCTAGTTTGTACCAAATTTTAATTTTCTATAGTTAACAATTTATTAAATATAAACTTTTAAAAATTATTTATTTATTTTGACGTTTCTCGAAATTGAGGTTAAGACACAAAAATATGGTTAGAATTTAAGAAATTAAACTTTCTGTGGTTATAAAGGTTGATGCTAATTTATATCAAATTTTAATTTTCTATAGTAAACACTTCATAAAATATAAATATCAAAAGTTACTTATTTAATTTGACGTCTATTGAACGTGAATTTACGGTTTACCTCAACTTCTAAGTAGAATGTGATGTCATTTACATATTTATCTCAAGTTTTTAACTCTATTAATCACTTGTTACTGAGTATACAAAGAGAATAGTCATACATTTATATCAGACTACAAAAGAGAAACTACGAGACAAAGCTTTAATTATGGCAATAATAGTTATAGATTTCAAGCAGGAGAGAATCTCAACAAACAAGTCCTAAGCATCTGGGAAAGCATATCCACTGTTCTTCATCCCATCTCTTTATTAAGAGCAGTTCTTGCAGGAGATTGTGGTATTGTAATATTAAACCCTCTTTTTCATTTAAAAAGACACAAATCAAAATCCTTAATATATATCCAGAGCTAGTATTGCCGACATCTCCGCTGCTTTTGAACCAGATGCTAGTGACGCTACACTGCATCAGTTATTGTTCTTGAATATGTAAAATAGTTTAAAATGCATAAAATGTTACCGAAATAAATAGTAATTGAAAGATTTCATTAGATAGCTTAAGTAAATTTTATTAAGAATAATTTTTTTATAATCAATAAACATCTACAGCCATTTCTTCAAAATGAAATATTCATAAATCGTTTTAAAAGGCATAATTTTAACTTCCTTCACCCTAAGGTACAGAGAAAATTAATCATAATTAAAATCCATAAATGATGATCTTCATTAAAATTTAATATTTAACAATTTTAATTATCAGCAAGGAAAATACCCTTACCACAATCACTTCTTCTTATTACCTCGTAAGGACGATGGGGGGTTGTAAAGTGGGTCGAAGAAAACGGGAACGGGTCATAACTTATCCCCTTCCAAAAATTGAATTTCGGATTACGACCTCTCCCTTAACAACTTCCGCCTCCCGTGTACACGTTTTATATTCCAGATCTTATGCCCGGATAGAAACGAGAAACCCCCGAGAATTCGTCGGTTCGCGTTTTCTTCGTGTACCGTACCGGAGGCCAGGTTTATGATTTTAATATAAATGTAAGGAAAGCTGCGAAACAGCTTGCATAATAAACCGATGGTCGTCGCAAAAATCTTCGCCAAAAAAAGATAAGGAATAATAATAAAATAATTGAATTTTCGTTCCCAAGAAAAGTAGAATCACGATTAATCAACTCAGAAGAGAGAAATTTGAAATCTTTCTCTACCAATTAACACCCATTTCCCATTCCATTTTGTCCCACCTGAATTCAATTGAAGGGGATGGGTCCTTTTGATATTCGAAACGGCGCAACGTTATTAGCACCAATAAAGGTAGTAAAGTAAATCGAGTGACTGACGACGGGTCTTTGCGTTCGGTTCTCCTTAGTTAAATTGACTTGCGGCCATCCAACGACGATGGCGACGCTTCTAAGTAAACGGCCGTCCGCCCTCTAAAATCGAGGCCGAGGGTAGAGATTCGAAGTGAACGGGGAAGGGAAAGGGCGGAAGGGCCGATGTCTATTAGGGGTTCGAGCAAGTCATGACTTGCTCGCTCAGGCTCGTAATTCAATATTAATATTGGATGGCGGCGAACGAACCGTCTCCAGATGGATAGATAGGTCGTAGATGGCGCTACCAACACACTTAATATTCAGTGGCGTTACATTGAAATTCAACTGCAACTTTTAAATTTTAGAGATGCTTTTGATTATTTTAAAATGATATAAGTATAAAAGAAAATTTTCAATCAAGAACCACTTTTACTATTACTGGATGAAATCGTTATAAGTTTGTGAAGGTGCGTTAGGCAAAGGGATTTTGCAATTTTGAGTCTTAACAGCTACGTCTACTAAATTGTATTCTCGATCATTATTTTGGAAAGCAAATTATCAAAGCGATGGTTTAGATGATACTAGATAGGTCAAGTACGTCATTCATGCACCTGTGCATCCTATTAAGCAGTATTATTATTCTGTCAGTCCTTCAAACTTCAAAAGGTGATGTATTTAGGCTTCGAGGAAAAAACTATTAAAGAAGAAATTGTCAATTTTATAAATCAAAAATAAAACGAAATTAAAAAAAATCTTATCGACTGTATTATTAAGAGCCATGGTAAAAAATAGCTTAAAGATTCTAGTTTACGAAATGATATAAAAACTATAAGGTAATATCATTGAATTTTCCTGAAAAATTCTATTAAAGAAGTCAAATTTATAAATTAAAAAGAATAAGAAATTTTCAAAAAAAACATATCGACTGTATTATGAAGAGCCATGATATGATATGTATGTCAAATTGTAGCTTAAAGATTCTAGTTTATGACATGATATAAAAATTATAAGATATTATTATTGAAATTTCCAAGAAAAAAACATTAAAGAAGAAATTGCTAAATTTATAAATCAAGCATACGAAATTTTCAAAAAATCATATCGACTGTATTATTAACAGCCATGATATGATATGCATGTCAAATTGTAGCTTAAAGATTCTAGTTTATGACATGATATAAAAATTATAAGATAATATTATTGAATTTTCCTGAAAAATTTTATTAAAGAAGAAATTGTCAAATTTATAAATTAAAAAGAATAAGAAATTTTCAAAAAAAAACATGTCGACTGTATTATTAAGAGCCGTGATATGATATGTATGTCAAATTGTAGTTTAAAGATTCTAGTTTATGACATGATATAAAAATTATAAGATATTATTATTGAAATTTCCAGGAAAAAAATATTAAAGAAGAAATTGCCAAATTTATAAATCAAGAATACGAAATTTTCAAAGAATCATATCGACTGTATTATAAACAGCCATGATATGATATGTATGTCAAATTGTAGCTTAAAGACTCTAGTTTACAAAATGATATAAAAACTATAAGGTAATATCATTGAATTTTCAGAAAAAAACTACTTCTATTAAAGAAGAAATTGTCAAATTTATAAATTAAAAAGAATAAGAAATTTTCAAAAAAAACCATGTCGACTGTATTATTAAGAGCCGTGATATGATATGTATGTCAAATTGTAGCTTAAAGATTCTAGTTTATGACATGATACAAAAATTATAAGATATTATTATTGAAATTTCCAGAAAAAAAACATTAAAGAAGAAATTGCCAAATTTATAAATCAAGCATACGAAATTTTCAAAAAATCATATCGACTGCAGTATTAAAAGCCATGATATGATATGTATGTCAAATTGTAACTTAAAGACTCTAGTTTACAAAATGATATAAAACTATAAGGTAATATCATTGAATTTTCCAGAAAAAAGCTATTAAAGAAGAAATTGTCAAATATATAAATTAAAAAAAATAAGAAATTTTCAAAAAAACTCATATCGACTGTATTAGTAAGAGCTATGATATGATGTGTATGTCAAATTGTAGTTTTAAGATTCTAGTTTATGATACAATATAAAAATTATAAGATATTATTATTGAAATTTTCAGAAAAAAATTATTAAAGAAGAAATAACCAAATTTATAAATCAAGAATACGAAATTTTCAAAAAATCATATCGACTGTATTATTAACAGCCATGATATGATATGTATGTCAAATTGTAGTTTAAAGACTCTAGTTTACGAAATAATATAAAAACTATAAGGTAATATCATTGAATTTTCCAGAAAAGAAATTGTTAAAGCACAAATTGTTAAATTTATAAATTAAAAAGAATAAGAAAATTTCAAAAAAAGAAACATATCGACTGTATTATTAAGAGCCATGATATGACATATATGTCAAATTGTAGCTCAAAGATTCTAGTTTATGACATGATATAAAAATTATAAAATATTATTATTGAAATTTCCAAGAAAAAAAACATTAAAGAAGAAATTGCCAAATTTATAAATCAAGCATACGAAATTTTCCAAAAATCATATCGACTGCATTATTAACAGCCATGATATGATATGTATGTCAAATTGTAGCTTAAAGACTCTAGTTTACGAAATGATATAAAAACTATAAGGTAATATCATTGAATTTTCCAGAAAAAAAAGCTGTTAAAGAAGAAATTATCAAATTTATAAATTAAAAAGAATAAGAAATTTTCAAAAAAAGAAACATATCGACTGTATTATTTAGAGCCATGATATGATTAAGAGCCATGATATGACATGTATGTCAAATTGTAGCTTAAAGACTCTAGTTTACAAAATGATATAAAACTATAAGGTAATATCATTGAATTTTTCAGAAAAAAGCTGTTAAAGAAGAAATTATCAAATTTATAAATTAAAAAGAATAAGAAATTTTCAAAAAACCCCATATCGACTGTATTATTAAGAGCCATGATATGATATGTATGTCAAATTGTAGTTTAAAGACTCTAGTTTACGAAATGATATAAAACTATAAGGTAATATCATTGAATTTTCCAGAAAAGAAAAATTAAAGAAGAAATTGTCAAATTTATAAATTAAAAAGAATAAGAAATTTTCAAAAAAACCCATATCGACTGTATTATTCAGAGCCATGATATGATATGTATGTCAAATTGTAGCTTAAAGACTCTAGTTTACAAAATGATATAAAACTATAAGGTAATATCATTGAATTTTCCAGAAAAAAGCTATTAAAGAAGAAATTATCAAATTTATAAATTAAAAAGAATAAGAAATTTTCAAAAAAAAATCCATATCGACTGTATTATTTAGAGCCATGATATGATATGTATGTCAAATTGTAGCTTAAAGACTCTAGTTTACAAAATGATATAAAACTATAAGGTAATATCATTGAATTTTCCAGAAAAAAGCTGTTAAAGAAGAAATTGTCAAATTTATAAATTAAAAAGAATAAGAAATTTTCAAAAAAAAATCCATATCGACTGTATTATTTAGAGCCATGATATGATATGTATGTCAAATTGTAGTTTAAAGATTCTAGTTTACGAAATGATATAAAAACTATAAGGTAATATCATTGAATTTTCCAGAAAAAAAAAATTAAAGAAGAAATTGTCAAATTTATAAATTAAAAAGAATAAGAAATTTTCAAAAAAAACCATATCGACTGTATTATTAAGAGCTATGATATGATGTGTATGTCAAATTGTAGTTTTAAGATTCTAGTTTATGATACAATATAAAAATTATAAGATATTATTATTGAAATTTCCAGAAAAAAATTATTAAAGAAGAAATAACCAAATTTATAAATCAAGAATACGAAATTTTCAAAAAATCATATCGACTGTATTTTTAAAAATCGTGATATGATATATATGTCAAATTGTAGCTTATAGATTCTAGTTTATAGAATAATATAAAAACTATAAGGTAATATCATTGAATTTTCGAAAAAAAAATTATTAAATAAGAAATTGCCAATTTATATATCAAAAATAAAAACAAATATTCAAAAAAAATCATATCCACTGTATTATTAAGAGCTATGATACGATTTGTATATCAAATTGTAGCTTAAAGATTCTAGTTTATGACAAGATATAAAAATTATAAGATATTATTATTAAAATTTTTAGAAAAAAATTATTAAAGAAGAAATTACTAAATTTATAAACAAAGAATACGAAATTTTCCAAAAATGATATCTACTGTATTTTTAATCATTATGATATGATATGTATGCTAAAGTGAAGCTGAAACATTCTAGTTTATGATAAGATATAAAAAGTATATGATAATATTATTGAAATTTCCAGGAAAAAATTATTAAAAAAGAAATTGTGAAATTTATATATGAAAAATAATAAATTCCAAACTGTTGAATTGGAGAGTTTCCTTCAGAGTGTTGCAGACTTTTGGCGGACACTGTATATAGAATAGAGTCATAAAACTAAGTTACATGTTGGTGCCTATTTCTAGTTTATGAGAGTCGTGTTTCCCATAGAATGGATTTTAGAGCCTATATAAAGTTCAAAATATATGTCTATTATTTGTAAAGTCATAAATATCATATCGATTTTTAAAAAGCTAAAGTGCCAAAAAAAATAGCATGGTGTGTAAGTTAATATTCGTTGGACGAGCTCTTTAAACCATCCCCCGAACAAATTAAGCACTGCCGGCGAGTTAGAAATTAATTGCCGGAGCTTAGTTTGCAAACGGTGAGGAACAATGCAAAGTCGCGATTGTGGGAATGGAACGAACTGGGCGAACAACGAAAGGGGGGACGACCCCATCCGTGGAAATTGGACGCGAAAGCTCAGGAAATAAGCGGAAAATTGGCGCGTTCGCTCCGCGGGTTTTCCACCATCGAGGGGTGCCCGCAGCTTCCGCGTGACGGCCGGTGGCTTTTGTACGGATGAATTTAATAATGGAAAATCGAGGTAATTGCTCTAAATTTATTCGGCGCCGATTTGTTCGGGGAAACCCCTACCGATTACGGTAATTGATTTTATCGGCGGTTTGCGGTCCAGTTAACTATGAACTTTCTGAACGAAATATTTTCTCGATCGGAAAATGTAAAGAGAATTTTTAATGATGAAATTTTTTTTATAGAAATAATTTATAGACTTTTTTATTCAACAAATTTAAATAAAATAAAATAATAAATTCGTTTCTGTATGTGCAAATAAAATCAATTTCATTCCCACAATTCGTGTCGCATTCATCATGCAGCTGGAAGGTAGAAAATATCGAATAACATCAAACAAGAACAAAAACAACGAACACAATAAAAAAATAAAAGAAAGAGAAAAAAGAATAGGTTGAGGTAATCTTATTCTTGGATTTTCCAACGAACTGTATCCGATCCGCCTTCGATTCCTCTTTCGGAAAACGCAGTTTCCTGCGCCCTCGGCGCTGGTGCGCTTTGTGAAATTACAATATCGGAATATCTATGAGATTTGTTCGACGGAAAGCGACTTTCCAATAAGGGCGTATCGGAATTTCTTTTGGCGAAATTTTCCGGAAAATTCGTTAAATCCGAACACGACGCGTTCCCTTACATCTCATCCCCCATAGTCTTTATTTCATTCTTTTTATTTCTTTTTTTCAGAGATCTCGACACCACAGAGAACCACTAACAACCTCGACAACAACAACAGAAACAGCACATCAAGCTCTTTTAGAAACGAGTAAGTTTGTTTTAATTTTTTAACACTTAAATGTAATCAAAATTCCAACCTATTAGAACTTTAGTCTTTACCGCAGAAAATTTAATAACCAAAACGCTTCCCTGGAGGTGCTAAAAACAAATTGAAACTTCGTACCTACACACACGTTTTCGTAGATAACAGTAAGTCTTGGTAAAGGAAAATTAAACTTTGAAGGATCCGACGGTGCTAAAGCAAATGAGGACTTTGGGTTAATATAAAGGGTCTAATACGATTAGCGAACTCGAGAAAACAATAATTTTCCATTCCCGAGCCGCGTCTAGACGGTTACGAAGAGAGCAAAAGAAGAGAGAAGGAGAAAGGCTGAGGTGTCAGAAATCCGATTAGAATTTCATGTTCTTGTTCGTACAAGGGGGTGGCGCGATCGTGACGGCAAAATTAATCTATAAAATTAATTCGTAAAGTCCCTGAATTATGTATATGTACGCTGAGGGAAACCCTGAATGCTAATGCGATCAACTTTATTTTTGCAAACTCAATAAGACGAGAAAAATTTATTTGATAATATATCAAGTATTATCAAAAAATTTTGGATATAATTAAAATTTGAAATAATATTGGACGTTTCTTTTTGTGGAGTTGTTTAACATGAAGTTGTGGTGCTTTACTTCAATAGATGACCTAGTTGAAATTTTGTAGCAAGTTCGTGGTGTTCAACTTTAATGACTTTGTGAGAAAATTTGAAGCTTCTAAGTTGTAAGTTTATAAGGCAAAGCTCTAATAGAAGATTTGATTATTATTATAGGAGACAAGAGTAGGGAAGTAAGAAACAAGGAGACGTAACTTACTTTGAGATAAATAACCTTTGCGTTATTTTAAATACGTAAAGATTAATTATCCTAACATTTATGTTTGAGATTATGCAGGTTGCGTTCAGAAAATCATTGCTTTGAGAATAGAAAATTCCAAGAAATTATCTGCAATCTATTAAATTCTGAATAAATTGCTTTTTATATCATAACGATATCTTAATTCGTTTTTGAGATATGGAGAGGTTAATTATCCTAACATTTATGTTTAAGATTATGCAAAGTTACGTTCATAAAAACATTACTCTGAAAATAGAAGATTCCAAAAAATAATCGTCAAAATATCAAATACTAACTAAATCTGCTTCAAATTGCGTTTTATTTCATAACGATATCTCAATTAGTTTTTGAGATTACAGAGGTTAATTACCCTAACATTTATGTTTAAGACTATACAAGGTTGTGTTCAAAAAAACATATCTCCGAAATTTAAAGATTCAAAGAAATCATCTTCAAAGTATCAAATACTAAATAAATTTGCTTTAAATTGCTTTTTATTTCATAACGATATCTCAATTAGTTTTTGAGATATGCAGAAATTAATTACCTTAACATTTCTGTTTAAGATTATGCAAGGTTGCGTTCAGAAAATCATTACTCTGAAAATAGAAGATTCCAAGAAATGATCTTCAAAGTATCAAATACTAACTAAATCTGCTTCAAATTGCGTTTTATTTCATAACGATATCTCAATTAGTTTTTGAGATGTACAGAGGTTAATTACCCTAACATTTATGTTTGAGACTATGCAAGGTTATGTTCAAAAAAACATATCTCTGAAATTTGAAGATTCAAATAAATCATCTTCAAAGTATCAAATAATAAACAAATTTGCTTCAAAGTGCTTTTTATTTCATAACGATATCTCAATTAGTTTTTGAGATATGCAGAAATTAATTACCTTAACATTTCTGTTTAAGATTATGCAAGCTTGCGTTCAGAAAATCATTACTTTGAAAATAGAAGATTCCAAGAAATGATCTTCAAAGTATCAAATACTAACTAATTCTGCTTCAAATTGCGTTTTATTTCATAACGATATCTCAATTAGTTTTTGAGATATGCAGAGGTTAATTACCCTAACATTTATGTTTGAGACTATGCAAGGTTGTGTTCAAAAAAACATATCTCTGAAATTTGAAGATTCAAAGAAATCATCTTCAAAGTATCAAATACTAAATAAATTTGCTTTAAATTGCTTTTTATTTCATAACGATATCTCAATTAGTTTTTGAGATATGCAGAAATTAAATATCTTAACATTTCTGTTTAAGATTATGCAAGGTTGCGTTCAGAAAATCATTACTTTGAAAATAGAAGATTCCAAGAAATGATATTCAAAGTATCAAATACTAACTAAATTTGCTTCAAATTGCGTTTTATTTCATAACGATATCTCAATTAGTTTTTGAGATATGCAGAAATTAATTACCTTAACATTTCTGTTTAAGATTATACAAGGTTGCATTCAAAAAATCATAACTCCAAAAATCGAAGATTCCAAGAAATGATCTTCAAAGTATCAAATACTAAATAAATTTACTTCAAATTGCTTTTTATTTCATAACGAAAGCTCAACTAGTTTTTGAGATACGATTTTTTTTAAATCTGTTTTTAAAGGATAGAATAAACATACCGAGTAGGGTTTAAAAAATCATAGCAACGATGTTTATTGGAATTAAAAAAATATTTATGGCAATTTGAATTTGAACTAAATTTTCTTCAAAATGTTAATTTTGTCATTATATCTCAAGTGGTTCTTGAGATACGATATTTTAATGAAATTTGTAAAATCTCATCTCATGTGTAAAGTACTTTTTGCCAATAATATATCAGATAATTACATCTTGTAAAGTCACCAAAATCTACAAATTCAGGCTACACTCTGATAATGTAGAGTAAGATTTTTGATCTTTTCTAATGTGTTACCTTTAAAACGTTCAGAAATGTAATGTTTGGTTCCAGCAATTAATATACCATTTTCAGGTCCGTTCTTTACAGGCTTACTATTTTGCGAAGCTACTTTATCAGAGTTTAGAAAGTGTCTTGCTTTATTTGTTATCTTACTTTTCATCGAAATTGTTGAATACTTAAGTAATCTGACCTTCACCAACCAAGATAGATTTGCCTAGCTGGGACTTTAAGAACAATAGAGGCCAGAGATCAATGATAGATTGCATAATTATAAATCGAGAAATACAAATTCTAGACGTATAGCGGATTTAGCTACTGAAGTATTCAGTTTAAACTTGAGTAAGCCACCAATCANCGACCTTAATCCTCCAGAAATACCTCGAAGGGTTCAATTCTCCGCCTCTCCCTTCCTCTCCTCTATGACAAATGGCGTGCAACGGGGTTCGTCGTGAATCCATCACTGACAGACGTCCCCCTTCTTCTTTTTAGGACGTTTTGACGACGACCGTCGTCCCCGCTTTCGCCTCCGTAACCGTGGAAAGACGCGGGATAGACGATCGTGAGCGGATGGGGAACTGGGACGCGCATTCCACCCTTCCCAGCGACCTTGAAAACGAGGTTGAGGAGAAATCCGATTCCGCTACGTACGGGAATAATGAAGATTGTCCGATGCAGGAATACGAAATCATGAAGGTTGGTAATTGCCGTTAAATTTACAGCTTGCCTAATCGACGAGTTTAACTAATTCATCGAGATTAATTAGTGTCGTTTAAACGTTAAACGTTAAGGGACATCGTTTCGGACGGATCGGATAGAGTCGAGTTTGGGTTTGGATTTGCTTTGCTTTGCTATGGTAGATACTCTAAAACCTGTACGTGCGCGTAATACATCCGCGAAATCGATTGCCAAGAGCATGCAAACGAGACTAAACACACATTTACATTCGAACTACAAACGATCGTTATTTGCGTTAATATTCCTGTTGGCTTCTAATGGGCTCTTCACCCCTATAAATACGCTAGAGAACTCAATCGGTCTCCAACTACAATACGTTATTGTGGTAGGCTATAATAAACGATGCAATAACAATCATCGGTTTTGATCGCATTTAGCTATTTGCTATCGAAAATATCAAAACGTTCATCTTAATTAGTTTAAAATAGGTCTAGTGTTAATTTTACTTTTAATTCAATGAAAAATATATAAGAATCCAACGCTGAATAACAATTAAAACTAGAACTAACACTAGACCTAGAACTAGAAACATTCGGATTTAGCCGCACGTCTCTCAAGACGGCTAAACCCAAATGATTCTAGTTCTAGGTCTTGTGTCAGTTCTAGTGATAGTGCTGGTGTAAAACTAGAACTAACACTAGGTCTTGTGTTAGTTCTAATTTAGAAACTTTCTAGTTCTAGGTCTAGTGTTAGTTGTAGTTTTACACTAGGTCTTGTGTTAGTTCTAGTGATAGTATTAGCGCAATACTATCACTAGGTCTTGTGTTAGTTCTAGTGATAGTGCTAGTGTAAAACTAGAACTAACACTAGATCTAGAACCAGAAAATATTTAGAAACTTTCTAGTTCTAGGTCTAGTGTTAGTTCTAGTTTTAATCGTTATTAAGCGCTAAATTGTTGTTTATTTTTACTGAAATAAAAGTGGAATTAACACTAAACCTAGAACTACAAACATTCGGATTTAGCCGTCTTGAGAGACATGTCTAGTGTTATCTAACTCAAAGTGGAATTTCTACACAAAATTCTGAAATAAATCAGTAAATTAGATGGATCCAAATGTAACGTTTAAAGAGGTGGGCCTTACCCCCCTCTAAAAAGATATGTCGCATCTGGATGACAAAGAATCGAGTGTTGTAGCAGCAATTTTTAAATCTGTAATGGAAGGAACACAGAAAGATATCACTCAACAGAAGAATAGTTTCAGTAAATAGTCTTCAGCTAGTAGTACTGTAATCTCCAAGCACTTAGTAGTGTTTTGACAGCAATATATAGTCTTCTGAAAGCATTAAGTAGTCTTTCCAATAATATTTAGCAATCTGAAAGTAGTTAATAGTCTTTTGGAAATAGTATTTTGTCTTTAGAAGCAGATAATAGTTTCTCGCAGCAGTATTTAGTCTTCTCCAAGCAGATCGTAATCTTTTCTAGTAGTATATAGCGCTCTGAAAGCAGTAAGTAGTCTTATGGACGCAGTATTTCGTCTTTCCAATCAGTTTGTAGTTGTCTGTTAGCACTTTTGATTGTAATCTTTTCCACCAGTATCTAGCATTTTGGAGAGCATATCTCTTCTTTCCAAGTAGTTACTAATCTTTTCCCGTAGTATTTAGCATTCTGGCAGCATTACGTAGGTTTTTGAGAAGCATATCACTTCTTACCAAGCAGTTATTAGCCTTTTCCAGCAATATCTAATATTCTGGAAGCAGTAGGTCGCTTTTTGGAAAGCATTTAACAATTATCAAAATTTTTGATCACATTGATAGATAGAGAAAGGGTAAATTACAACTATTATNTCATTCGGGTTTAGCCGCACGTCTCTCAAGACGGCTAAACCCGAATGATTCTAGTTCTAGATCTTGTGTTAGTTCTAGTGATACTGCTAGTGTTAAACTAGAACTAACACTAGACCTAGAACTACAAACATTCGGATTTAGCCGTCTTGAGAGACGTGTCTAGTGTCATTTAACTCAAAGTGGAATTTCTACACAAAATTCTCAAATAAATCAGTAAATTAGGTGGATCCGAATGTAACGTTTAAAGAGGGGGGCCCTACCTTCCTCTAAAAAGATATGTCGCATCTGGGTGACAAAGAATCGAGTGTAGTAGCAGCAATTTTTAAATCTGTAATGGAAGGAACACAGAAAGATATCACTCAACAGAAGAATAGTTTCAATAAATAGTCTTCAGCTAGTAGTACTGTAATCTCGAAGCACTTAGTAGTGTTTTGACAGCAGTATATAGTCTTCTGAAAGCATTAAGTAGTCTTTCCAATAATATTTAGCAATCTGAAAGTAGTTAATAGTCTTTTGGAAGCAGTATTTCGTCTTTCCAATCAGTTTGTAATTGTCTGTTAGCACTATCTAGTCTTCTCTAAGCAGATTGTAATCTTTTCCACCAGTATCTAGCATTTTGGAGAGCATATCTCTTCTTTCCAAATAGTTACTAATCTTTTCCCGAAGTATTTAGCATTCTGGAAGCATTACGTAGGTTTTTGAGAAGCATATCACTTCTTTCCAAGCAGTTATTAGTCTTTTCCAGCAATATCTAACATTCTGGAAGCAGTAGGTAGCTTTTTGGAAAGCATTTAACAATTATCAAAATCTTTGATCACATTGATAGATAGAGAAAGGGTAAATTACAACTACTATTAAATTGAACTTGAACTGAAAAAGCTCCAAATAATAATCCTCACAGTTTTTCTGTTATGTTGATTAATTCAATTAAAGTAGAAACATTCATTCTAAGCATAAAAGGGAAAAAAATGAAGTTATTTTAAACTCATCTCTATACAAAGGCATCACGTCGATGTCGACCTTAATGCGAAATGAAACTCACCCTTTTCGTTTTGTTCCAGATCCATGCCTCGTCCACTATTGCATGAAAGGGCACGAGTGCGCCCTGACGGACGCTGGGGCCGCGACGTGCATCTGCCAACGGCAGTGCGCCGTCCACAAGAAACTCGTGTGCGGCTCCGACGGACACATTTACCCCAACCACTGTGAACTACATCGAGCTGCCTGTCTCGCTGGCACCACCATTGCGGTCGAAAGGGGAGTGCACTGCGTGAAACACGGTCAGTGGATATAACCCTACAAGCTTTGACGATAATGAGGATAGTGTGAAAATGTTTTCTAAAAATCACCATTAACTTTCCGTTTACTTTTTTAATATTGCACGCAAATATATGTTATATGAAATTTTTAGGGAAAGGTTGGGCCCCAACTCTTCAACAAGAAGATTATTTCGATGAATACGATCCCGGGGCCTCCACCAAACCATCAGAAATTAACTTGGAATTAAAGGAAAACACAACTAAACTCATGACAGAGGTAACAACGTTTTCGACACTTATTTACATTGAAAAACCGAGTCTGATTAAAAAATCAATCAAGCCGTCGAGTAGTCAAAAAAGCGACCCGCTCGTTTCCATCGTCCATCAATCCGCTCGAGAACTATTTACGAACTCTATTATCGCCGAATTCCATCGCTCAACATCAAAATCCTCGCTCTACCCCCCCGTTCATGTCCTCTCCCGGTTTTACGTCGGGATGAGTCCCGACCTTAATCCTCCAGAAATACCTCGAAGGGTTCAATTCTCCGCCTCTCCCTTCCTCTCCTCTATGACAAATGGCGTGCAACGGGGTTCGTCGTGAATCCATCACTGACAGACGTCCCCCTTCTTCTTTTTAGGACGTTTTGACGACGACCGTCGTCCCCGCTTTCGCCTCCGTAACCGTGGAAAGACGCGGGATAGACGATCGTGAGCGGATGGGGAACTGGGACGCGCATTCCACCCTTCCCAGCGACCTTGAAAACGAGGTTGAGGAGAAATCCGATTCCGCTACGTACGGGAATAATGAAGATTGTCCGATGCAGGAATACGAAATCATGAAGGTTGGTAATTGCCGTTAAATTTACAGCTTGCCTAATCGACGAGTTTAACTAATTCATCGAGATTAATTAGTGTCGTTTAAACGTTAAACGTTAAGGGACATCGTTTCGGACGGATCGGATAGAGTCGAGTTTGGGTTTGGATTTGCTTTGCTTTGCTATGGTAGATACTCTAAAACCAGTACGTGCGCGTAATACATCCGCGAAATCGATTGCCAAGAGCATGCAAACGAGACTAAACACACATTTACATTCGAACTACAAACGATCGTTATTTGCGTTAATATTCCTGTTGGCTTCTAATGGGCTCTTCACCCCTATAAATACGCTAGAGAACTCAATCGGTCTCCAACTACAATACGTTATTGTGGTAGGCTATAATAAACGATGCAATAACAATCATCGGTTTTGATCGCATTTGGCTATTTGCTATCGAAAATATCAAAACGTTCATCTTAATTAGTTTAAAATAGCACTGAAATAAAAAAAGGCAACATAATCTAACGCTAAATAACAATTAAAACTAGAACTAACACTAGACCTATAACTAGAAACATTCGAGTTTAACCGTATTAAAAAAGACGTGACGCTAAACCCTAGGTCTAGTGTTAATTCTACTTTTAATTCAATGAAAAATATATAACAATCCAACGCTGAATAACAATTAAAACTAGAACTAACACTAGACCTAAAACTAGAAACATTCGGGTTTAGCCGTGCGTCTTCATTCTAGGTCTAGGTCTAGTGTTAGTTCTAGTTTTACACTAGCACTGTTTCTATGTGCAACTAACACTATACCTAAAACTATACTCATTGGGATTTAGCCGCACGGCTGTAAAGACGACTACATCCGAATGATTCTAGTTCTAGGTATAGTGTTAGTTCTAATTTTACACTTGCACTGTTACTATGTTCAACTAACACTATACCTAGAACTAGAATCATTCGGATTTAGCCGCACGTCTGTAAAGACGGCTACATCCGAATGATTCTAGTTCTAGGTATAGTGTTAGTTCTAGTTTTACACTTGCACTGTCACTAGAACTAACATTAGACATAGAACTAGAATCATTTGGGTTTAGCCGCACGTCTGTAAAGACGGCTAAACCTGAATAATTCTACTTCTAGGTCTAGTGCTAGTTCTAGTTTTACTCTAGCACTGTTACTGTGTACAACTAACACTATACCTAGAACTAGAATCATTTGGATTTAGCCGCACGTCTGTAAAGACGGCTAAATCCGAATGATTCTAGTGCTAGGTATAGTGTTCGTTCTAGTTTTACACTTGCACTGTCACAAGAACTAACATTAGACATAGAACTAGAATCATTTGGGTTTAGCCGCAAGTCTGTAAAGATGGCTAAAGCGGAATGATTCTACTTCTAGGTCTAGTGCTAGTTCTAATTTTACACTAGCACTGTTACTATGTACAACTAACACTATACCTAGAACTAGAATCATCTAGATTTAGCCGCACGTCTGTAAAGACGGCTAAATCCGATTCTAGTTCTAGGTATAGTGTTAGTTCTAGTTTTACACTTGCACTGTCACTAGAACTAACATTAGACATAGAACTAGAATCATTTGGATTTAGCCGCACGTCTGTAAAGACGGCAAAACCCGAATGATTCTACTTCTAGGTCTAGTGCTAGTTCTAGTTTTACACTAGCACTGTTACTATGTACAACTAACACTATACCTAGAACTAGAATCATTTGGATTTAGCCGCACATCTGTAAAGACGGCTAAACCCGAATGATTCTACTTCTAGGTCTAGTGCCAGTTCTAATTTTACACTTGCACTGGCACTAAAACTAACATTAGACATAGAACTAGAATCATTTGGGTTTAGCCGCACATCTGTAAAGACGGCTAAATCCGAATGATTCTAGTTCTAGGTATAGTGTTAGTTCTAGTTTTACACTAGCACTGTCACTAGAACTAACATTAGACATAGAACTAGAATCATTTCGGTTTAGCCGCACGTGTGTAAAGACGGCTAAACCCGAATGATTCTAGTTCTAGGTATAGTGTTAGTTCTAGTTTTACACTTGCACTGTCACTAGAACTAACATTAGTTCTAAGTCTAGTGTTGTCGGCCTACCCGATGTGTATTCTATGTAATGTAAAATAATGTACGTCTAGTGTTAGTTCTAGTTTTACACTAGCACTATCACTAAAACTAACAAAAGACCTAGAACTAGAACCATTCGGATTTAACCGTCTTGAAAGATGTGCGGCTTGGAAACACTCAGAGTTTATGATTATGGATATGAATGCCAAGTAACATTCAGAAACTCTTAAAATCCTTAGACATTCATTGGAAATGCTTGAAAATCCTCAGAAAATGCATATAAATTGGTTGGGAATTTATTAAATATGCTTGGAAACGTTCGGAGAGTCCAAAAATTGCATTGTTCAAGTTGATGTATCCGAATGAATCCCTGAAATTTAAAAAAATCGTTAGATTTATTTAGAAATTCTTAAAAATCCATAAAGTTCATTAGGAAATTCTTGGATATTCTCCGAAATTTTTTGACTTCTAGGTATAATGTTAGTTCTAGTTTTACACTTGCACTGCCACTAGAACTAACATTAGTTCTAAGTCTAGTGTTGTCGGCCTACCCGATGTGTATTCTATGTAATGTAATGTAATGTAAGTCTAGTGTTAGTTCTAGTTTTACACTAGCACTATCACTAGAACTAACATAAGACCTAGAACTAGAGCCATTCGGATTTAACCGTCTTGAAAGACGTGCTGCTTGGAAACACTCCGAGATTTTATGATTATGGACATGAATGCTAATCGTAAGTAACATTCAGAAACTCTTAAAATCCTTAGACATTCATTGGAAATGCTTGAAAATCCTCAGAAAATGCATATAAATTGGTTGGGAATCTATTAAATATGCTTGGAAACGTTCAGAGAGTCCAAAAATTGCATTATTCAAGTTGATGTATCCGAATGAATCCCTGAAATTTAAAAAAATCGTTAGATTTATTTAGAAATTCTTAAAAATCCATAAAGTTCATTAGGAAATTCTTGGATATTCTCCGAAATTTTTTGACAATACACATGAATGTCAAGCAAAATCAATAAACTCATATAACCCTTAGACGTTAATTGAAAATCCTCTAGGAAATGCATGGAAATTGGTTGAGAATCTATATAAAATTATTGAAAATGCTCGGAAACTCCAGATATCGTATTGTTCAACTTGATACATCCAAATGAATTCCTGAAATTTGTAGAAAACGTGGTTTATATTTAGAAATTCTTGAAAATTTTTTTGTACCTCTTTAAATATCTTTTGGAACGATTAGAAATTGTCCAAACCATTCTTACGAAAACGCAGAATATCTTGATGTCCAAAATCAAAACCAAAAAATCTCAAAATCAAAATATTTTTATTAAAAATACTCCGAGTCTTCGAAAATGCTGAAAAAAAATTAGACATTGATTAAGTTTAGAAACTTTTGAAAATTTTCCATGAACTTTTATGGAAATCATTGATAATCCTTTGTAAATGCACCAAAAATGAATGGAGTGAATTCAAGTTATTCCAGAAAGTTTTAGAATGTTTACGGAGTCTCGGATATCCTTGAAAATCGTCCCTTCCCTAAAAAAACAACCAAAATTATTGAAATCCTTGGAAAACCTTAAAAAATATTAAGTATTTCTTGGATCTTTCTTTTAAATTCATCGAAACTCCGGAATGTTATTCTTTGAAACTTTCAGGAGCTTGGAAATTTTTTATGTATCTACTTTGGAAAATACTCCAACACTCTCTAAAATTTTTCAAAACCTCAGCAACTGCATGGAAGCATACTGAAAATCTACCTGTCTTAACACTACTTCACGCTTTAATAGGTTTTCAAAAAAAAACACCTGTCTCAACATTCTTTCACGCTTTAATTGTGGTTTCTTCACGCTATAATTGGGGTACAAAAGAAAACCGACATTCCTTCACGCTGTAATTGAGGTTCAAAAGAAAACTGACCTATCGCAACATTACCCAACTTAAACCATTTGTGATTGCCATTTGTAAACAAAACTAACCTAACTCAACTTTTCTTTTCTGAAACTCATTGCTCATTTTTTTTGAAAACAAAACTTGACAATCCTTAAAAATTTCTAAAAATCATTGTAAATGTAAAACGGTTTAAAAATTCCTTGAAAATCTAATATCCTATAAAACCCTCGAAGAAGTCATCGAAAATCCATGGAAATCGTTTGAAATTTCAGGAATAGCTTAGAAACATATTGGAAATCTGTGAAATCCATTGAAAATATTTGGAAATACATGAGATTTCTTGAAATATCCATCAAAATCACCAGGAAATCTTTTGAAATGATTAGAAACTGTCTAAAACATTCTTACGAAAACGTAAAATATCTTGATGTACCAAATCAAACTCAGAAAACCTTAGAAATCTGAAGTGGTTTAGGAATTCCCTGCAAATTCTATAATATCCTGAAAAATTCCCGAAAAAAACATCGACATTTCTTCAACTGATTCAAATCCATCGCCAGTAGTAATTTTTATGGAAATCATTGATAATCCATTGGAAATGCAATAAAAATGAATGGAGTGAATAGAGGTACTTCAAGTTATTCCAAAGAGTTTTAGAATGTTTACGCAGCCTCGGATATCCTTAAAAATCGTCCCTTCCCTAAAAAACCAACCAAAATTATTGAAATCATTGGAAAACCTTAAAAAATATTAGATATTCCTTGGATCTCCTTCTTTTAAATTCATCGAAACTCCTGAATGTTATTCTTCGAAACTTTCAGGAGTTTAGAATTTTTTTATGTATTTACTTTGAAAAATACTCCAACGCTTTCTAAAATTTTTCAAAACCTCAGGTACTGCATGGAAGAATATTGGAAAACACCTTGAAATTCTTGGAATCATTTTAACAATTTTGAATCTCCAAATAAGTCCCAGAATTTTTTTAATATTTGTGGATATGTTTGGAAATCCTTAAAAATATATAAAGAACGTCACAAAATCCTTTCCATCTTAAGTAAATCGCAGGAACTTTTCGTAACCAAAGGCTAGGAAATTCTTGAATATCCTTAAAACCTATTAACAATAATTCCTAAAAAGAAGTTTAATATACATATAAATCTGGAAAATTTTTGGAGGCCAAAAAAAATTTAAAAAAAAGGATATTCTATATTATTTTTGGAAATGCTTGCAAAACCATTGGATTTTTTAAGCAACCTAAAAACTCTTGAATCCTTAAGAATACTCCAGAATCCCTAAAAGATGCATATCAAGTAAATCGTTGGAATCCTTAGAAGTCTTGAAACTCGAGAAGCAGTTCACCTATCCCACAAATCCCTACAAATTTTAGACCATGCTTGAGAATCCTTAATAATCCTTCAAATCCTCAGGGGATGGTTGGAATCCTACTTAAAATCTCGGAAATACTCAGAATATTGAGTGTATCCAAATCAATTCCAGAAATTCTTAGTAATCACTGGAACTACTTTACAAACCTTAGATTTGTTGAGAAATCCTCGGATATTTTTCAAATCCTTGGAAAAAAATGCTTGGAAATTACTAGAAATTGTGCTAGAAACCTTTAAAAATGGAAATACATCCCAAATAAATTTACGTAATACATGAAAACCCACAAAATCTATTTCACAACAAATAAAGTTAACATCATTGATTGAATGTAAAAATTGATAAAATAGATGAAGGACGTTTGAAGCTTAACATAACAATAATATGTCGACAACCCTACCTGATTGTGTCATATTTAATTATACTGAAAACAATGATTGAAGATAATTAATACAGTCTATGACGTCTGCATAAAATAGAATTATCCAATTGGAGAATATGGGTATAATTGAATATGAGTATATTCAGTTAACATGATGTCAAGCAACAAATACCTTCATATCAGTGATACAATAAAGTCTACATACACCTCAAAAAATGATAATATCTCAACTCCTGAAATGTAATTTTTTAAACGAAGGATATCGAAGAAGTCCATGTTATTTTAATACAAAACCGAAATAGTTCGACTTGTGCTACGAAGTGAAGGTTACAGCAGTAGATTTAGTCGCACGTCTCTCAAGACAGCTAATCCCGAATTATTCTAGTTTTAGATCTTGTGTTAGTTCTAGTGATAATGCAAAATTAGAACTAACACTAGATCTAGAACTAGAAACATTCGGATTTAGTCGCACGTCTTTCAAGACTTATAATCCCGAATTATTCTAGTTCTAGATCTTGTGTTAGTTCTAGTGATAGTGCAAAACTAAAACTAACACTAGATCTACAACTAGAAACCTAGAAGACCTAGAAAGACCTAGAACTAGAAACATTCGGATTTAGCCGCACGTCTTTCAAGACGGCTAAACCCGAATTATTCTAGTTCTAGGTCTTGTGTTCATTCTAGTGATAGTGTTAGTGTAAAACTAGAACTAACTAGTTTACTTCTAGTTTTAGGTTACTTCTAGTTTTACACTAGCACTATCACTAGACCCAGAACTAGAATCATTCGGGTTTAGCCGTCTTTAGAGACGTGCGGCTGAACCCAAATGATTCTAGTTCTAGGTCTAATGTTAGTTCTAGTGACAGTGNCCAAACTTATTGCGATTAAAGACGTTACAAAATTGCACATGAGTAACCGAGGGTTAACGGAATTTGATTCGATGGTCTTCGCTAATAGTAGCTTTAGTAGATTTCTTGTCGATCGTTTGTAAACGGCCGAAACAAAACTTAACATGAAAAATAGTATTAATACCACGATCACCATAACAAGAACTGAACTATACCGTGATACAATAAAGTCTACATACACCCCAGAAAATGATAATATCTCAGCTCCTGAAATGTAATTCAATAAATTTTTTAAACGAAGAATATTAGAAGTCTATATTATTTTAATACAAAGTCGAAACAGTTCGACTTGTGCTACGAAGTGAAGGCTACAGTAGTAGATTTAGTCGCACACGTCTCTCAAGACGGCTAAGCCCGAATTATTCTAGTTCTAGGTCTTATGCTAGAGTTTTCATTCAATAAAAATATACAACATAGTGATATCTTATACTAACTAGCGCTAGTTACCACTGTCTATAGAAGTAACATTAGACCTAGAATTATAAACATTCGAGCTTAGCCGCACATCTCTCAAGACTGCTAAACTTGAATTATTCTAGGTCTTGTGTTAGTTCTAGTGTAAAACTAGAACTAACACTAGACCTAGAACTAGAACCTATCGGGTTTGGCCGTGCGTCTGAAGATATGTTGAATATATGAGTATGTTGTATATAAAAATATACAACATAGTGATATCTTATGCTAACTAACCCCGTATTATCTAGTTCTAGGTCTTGTGTTAGTTCTAGTGATAGTGCTAGTGTAAAACTAGAACTAACACTAGACCTAGAACTAGAATAAGTTTAGCCGTATTAAGAGACGCACGGCTAAACGGAATGTTTTTAGTTCTAGGTCTAGTGCTAGTGTTAGCCCAGTTTTATTTGTTATTTAGCGCTAGATAGTTATATATTTTTATTGAGCTATAACGGACACTGATAGACTTTTTTTTTAGGACTGTATGTAGACTTTTTTGAGTTAAAGATATGATTATATTTTATGTTCCCCTTGATTAATAATAACTTATATAATTTTAATGTAAAATATGGTAATAATATGGACTTCTTACATGTTTTATTAAAAAGTTTCATTGAATTACATTTCGGGAGCTGAGATATTATCATTTTCCGGACTGTATGTAGACTTTATTGTATCACTGCATATCAATTAGTTTAGATAGGTTCGATCGCTTATTGGATTCATTTAGTGCTTAAAATTGGTACAACAAGGTTATTAACAAGTAACTCGATACATTGATGAAAACACATATACAAAAACACGCGTAATGAAAATACTTATACGAGAACGACAACATTTATTATGGTTATTAATTCGCCTAATATTCGCTTCGGCACACATCGATGGTCAACGTAAATTATATAGTAATTACCGAGTGAAATTAGCTGATGAAATTCTCGTCGAAATTCCAAACCGTTTCCCACGTGATTGCGTTAAAATCATAATTAGTTTCGGAAGCGATTTGTTTTTAATGAATTATACAAAAACATTACGATTAATTTTATAAAGTTAACATATTGGCTCGTAAAATTTATTGAAATAAAATGAATCCTTTTATTTTTCTTTTTATTAGGATAATCTCCTTTTATATAACCACGCAAGATTGATGTCTCAAGATAACCACAGTAAAGACTATCTGGTTTCGATCATGTTTTCCCACTACGATAGGAATAACAACGGAAACTTGGAAGCAACCGAATTGAACGAGGTAAGTGGGGAAATGTTCTAACCTAACGAGCATCGAGCGAATGGTTCTGTCCCCCCTTTCGCCCTAATTAGACAACGGCCGATTCCGTCCTTTAACTCGACTTTCTCGAAACTTGAACTGTTAATTTAACAATTGCCCAAGTAATTGGTAAACAAACTCAAACAATTGTAATTAATCGCAGCAACGAAAAACGAATACTCTTTGAACTTTATCGGGCAACTTTCTTTATTAACTAAAACAACGGTTTCGCGTTTAAGTGAGCTATTTAGTACTTCAATAATAATGAGAACGACAATGTAGGATAAAGTACAACTTTGTTGCCTAATGAAGTAAATACGCCTCTCATTCTCTACCGTAACCATCAAGCAATTAAACCGCGGAGCCGAGCAAGTTGTAAAATGCGCCAGGCGACCCCTTTTACATCAAAGGCAAAAATGATCCGACGCTAATGAAGCGGTCGCAGTCGCGAAGCACTTCCCCTATTCTAATTAAGTGCACTTTGGTACAACTCTCAAGTACAAAATTGCGAAAGAAATATATTATTCTTTCCTTTCATTTCGAAAGGAATGAAAAAGTTCACTTTGATTTCAAGTTTTAATTATAATTTTTGTTTTATTTAGGTTACATCTCAAGAGCATTTGGAGACGTTGAGTAAAGGTTGCTCCCTTTCGAACATGATAGCTTACGAGGATAGCGATAAGGATGGAAAGTTGAATATTAATGAGTTCTACGTGGCGTTTAGCAAACTTTACAGTAAGTGTTTTTTAATTAGTGTTGTAGTTTGTGTTGATTCAGTTAAAATTTTAATTTCGCAAATTTACATCCAAAGGGATCAGTGATCTAGTGTTGATCTAGTAATGTTGAGAAAAACGGAATTTTCGTTTTCATCTCTCTAAAAATATAAAACTTCTCAGAATAGACAGGCTCAAACTAATATTGAAAATTCTTTGGTGCCTGTCCATTTTAATCACAGAACACTGATGACAGCTATCACAAGCACAGAAGCCGTAAATGTAGCCTGTAAATCGTGGCATAAATTTAATCACTAAAACTAGAGACAAAATGATGACGATTCGTGTAAAAATTTTTGAAGAAAATAATCTAGAGTTTGATTTTGCACTTCTTTTTTATAAACGAGTTTCAAAAAAAAGATCACATATCAAAGTCGAAATCAGATTATTAGTTATTAATTTACAGAATTAAAGTTTAAAAAGTTGTAAAATGAAATTAAGGACGAAATGTTACAAGTTTACAGGTTAAAATTTAAGAACGCTCTGTTTTAATAAAAGAAATACAGTGAAATTCCCCTAACTCGAATCACTAAGGAAGTGAAAGAAAACTTCGAGTTAGAGCAAAATTAGTGGAATTTCAGCTCTAAAGAAAAATATTAGAAATGTACTTTTCTAATACGTATATTTAAAACAGACACCTTAATACTATTGTAAGTAGAAAATTAATCAAATTTTTTAAAGTAATCCATAATTTTTATGGATTCTATTTAATGTAAAGGATTATGAATATTATCTAGAACATTATCTCTTGATAATACAAAGGTTTCAAGCTTTCTAAGATAGGAATAAGCTTCATCTAATGTAGGCACAGCGATAAGTATTTCGCTGATTCTGAAACAATAAGAACATTAGGTTTGTTTTGGTTCAAGAGTCTATAGTTTCTGAGCCTAAGTCTATGTGGTTTGATTCTGTAGTTAAAATTACTTACAGAACGGATTCGAATATTTTATTCGTTGGTAAATTCGACTTATAGAAGTAAAAGTTGAAGAAATTCCATAGTAGTTCAATTCGAGTTACAGAATACAGATAAAAACACATATGAAACCTAGTGAAACGTTTGAGCTTACGAAAATAGGGAAATTAGGGAAATTTCACTGTATTAACTGTATTAAAAACTTGGGAAAAATTCATGTGGCTTTTAATCAATGTGAAATGACCCAAAAAGCACGTTAAAAAAAAAGAAAAGTGCGGAAAAGTGACTAACACTAGATTAACTTCAGTTACAAACATCTTTTATATCACAACTAACTTCAGGTGTAAAATGTCAACCTCAATTTTGATATATTTGTAATCTTCATTAAAAATCCTTTAAAATGAGTACAAACACGACATATTTATCTTCAATATTAATGAAGTTATGGTCAACTTCCGGTTAAGAATGTCAACGTCAATTTTGACATATTTGTAATCGTCGTGAAAAATCCTTTAAAATGAGTCCAAACATGATACGTTTAATTCCAATATTACTCGAGATATAAGCAACTTCCGGTTTGAAATGTCAATGTCATTTTGACATATTCTTAATTTTTATAAAATGTCTTAATATTTGTCACAAAAACAAAAATATAATAAAAAAAAATAAAAAATTAAGGTTGGTATTAATATTTAAAAATTAAATTGCTATCTTCATTGTTGCTAACTTCGGGTTTAATGTTTTTTATTCTAACTTTTTTGTTTTTTGAGATAAGTGCGTCATCTTTGGACTCATTTTAAAGGTTTTTTAATGAAGATGACAAATATGTCAAAATTGACGTTGACGTTTCAAACCGGAAGTGATTGTATTTCCATTAATATTAAAGTTAAATATGTCGAGTTTGGACTCATTTTAAAGGATTTTTTATGAAGTTGACAAATATGCCAAAATTAAAAGTTGAAAGTTCGAACGTTTTGGTTTTTTGAGATAAATGCGTCAAGTTTGGACTCACTTTAACGGTTATTTTTTGAAGATAAAATTAAAGTTGACATTGACAACTGAAAGTTTTTTCACGATTAAATCCGAATGTTTCTAATTTTAGTTCAATAAAAATATACAACATAGTTATGCAACATATATTATGCTAACTAGCTCTACTTACCACTGCAACTAGAACTAAGACCAGACCGAGAACTAGAAACATTCGGATTTAGTCACACGTCTCTCAAGACGGCTAAACCCGAATGATTCTAGTTGTAGGTCTTGTGTTAGTTCTAATGATAGTGTTAGTGTAAAACTAGAACTAACACTAGACTTAGAACTAAAAAGTTTCGGGTTGGGTTGGGCTAAATCCGAATATTTCTAGTTCTAGATCTAGTGTTAGTTCTAGTTTTAGTGCAATAAAAATGTGCAACATAGTGATATCTTATGCTAACTAACGCTACCTACCGCTGTCGTTTGTAAAATGGATAAGATGAGAGATGTTAATCTATTTGTAGTCTCTGAAGATGGCCAAGGGCCGAAACTAGTTATAGTAGACGCCACAAGAGCTGGCAGTAAATCATCGTTTTCCGCTCTTACAAATGCCATGCGTAGTTCACAAACCGCTAGTGAGTAATGTGTGTTAGAAAGAGATAATATTAGTTTAATATGTCTGCTGTACAATTCAAATGGCCACGTCGAAAAAGTACGTCTGTTCTTCTAAGGGATGTAACTCTATAATTATAACCTCAAATCGAAACGTCTTGTGAGCGTTGTCATGAATCTGTTAGTGTTTTCACAAGCTGAAAATGTTTTCTTTGAAAGGAAAATCATTAAATAATATCTTTGACAATGTTTGACATATAACCTCCATTACTAACATAACCTACATTTAAATGTATGTGGTGAAATAATCTAAGTCGTACGTCCATATCTTGATTCATACCATTTTTAAGCGATCTGTCACTGCCAGCTCTCGTGGTTTCTACTATAGATTTAAATTCTATATAAAATAAAAGATATAAACATTTAATTTTATACTAACATCTAGAAAACGACACTGGCGCGAAATTGTAGGTTCATCCATTTTTTCTATTGTAGAATTTCTTGGTGTATCTAAGTCGGTTCTTAGACGTATGATACAAATCGGACTTGAAATCGTATAACGTGATTGGCGCTTAGCTTTATCCTTTAAAACAAATAGCATTTTAGGTCTTTCGGTATTCTGCATCTTTTCTAAGATAAGTTACACCTTTACTTACCAGACAGCATGATAATCTCTAAAAACCATCAAATGTCGCTTAGTCAAGTGATGTATAACGCGGTCCATTTATTAATTACAAATTTGTAAAATAGGTTGCCTATACAGTGAATTTAGTGTTCTACACTAGAATAGGTCTGCTATATCTTGCGAGTTATATGAAATTCCCGGTTTGTAAATTGTTAGTTAGAAATTAAGAAAAACATTTTTATCACATTTAGTGATATCTACACAAACTGTCTTTACATCTCTCTGTCTTTCTTCTGGCTTTTTTGACATTCTTTACAAGTTCTTCAGGTTGGTCTTCTTCTGGGACATAGGTAACAACTTCCTCTCTGCTTGATTCTGCCAAAATTTCCACGTTCTTCTTGGAGGCATACTGGCAGATTTTTAACAATAGATACTGATAGGTGCTGTGCGACTCAAAATGCTTTCAAATAATATTGTCACGCCTCTTCTATTAATCGAGTATCTTGGCTCTCTTAAGACTTCACTTTCGATGTAGGAGTTATAACACATACTTATTGTATTATATGTATGTAGATATGTAGAAAGATAGTATAATGGCCGAGAATTAATGAAAATATTGAGTTTATGGTTAAAAAATGTAGACTGTGAGAAACATCAAAAATCTTGCATCGCAGAACCATTAATAAATCATAAACTACCTGAATTACCATTTAACAAAATAGGTATGGATATAGCAGAATATGCAAAACAATCGTATTTAATTGCGGTTGATTACTTATCAAAGTGGTTGGAAATTGTACCAATTAACACCAAAAATATAACTGAAAAACTTATGACTATCTTTGCGACACATGGTATACCAAAATGTGTGGTATGTGAAAATAATCCTTTTAACAGGTATGGTTTCCGAGATTTAGCAAAAGAGTGGAATTTTGAAACTATTAACTCTAGTCCATATTATCCAAAATCCAATGGACTAGCTGAAAAAGCAGTTGGAATAGCTAAGAACATAATTAAAAAATCACAAAATTCGAAAGGTATACAAATGGGTTTATTGGAGTATAGATGTACACCACTAACAGGATTGTCTTATAGTACAAGTGAGATTTTGATGAGCAGATTGCTGAGAACAAAGTTGCCTTGTACAAACAATATTTTAAGCCCTAACTATAAATTCGCCTAATATAAATGAAAGAATGCTTAGGTCTAGGCGTAATATTATAAAACCACTAAAATTAAGAGATTATGTACTAAGTTAAGCGCAGGGATGTATTTTATGTATGTTGGTAGCATTAGCATCCAACTTCATGGCATATTATCCTATAAGTAATAATAATAATATCAAGCTTTGTTAATAAAGTAAATTAAAACTCTATTCGTAAGTGTTTTGTTAATTAAAAGACTAATACATGACACTTATGTTGTTGCTATATCCGAACATTGATGATTCAACTGCTCCTGGTTTTGGATTCTAAAATTTGGCTGGTACAAATCTACGTCATTATTGTTAACAAATTGTTGTTTAACGCTAAATTATAATCTTTGTTGGTAGAGTTCTTTTATGGGGATTCTATGGTTATATTTATGCCCATATCTTTTTGTTTTAGTGTGTTAAAAGCCCCTTCTCTATTACTGTTCGTAACATAACATTACTTTATTTCATAAAATAATAACACGTGGTTTCAAACAAAGCATAATGAAGATAATACTCCATTTTCTACTTCCTGGTTAATTTGTAACTGAAATATTACGAGTTGTTTGCCAACATAACATCAAAAAGTGTTTCTCTCATTTTCATTTTCCTCTAGGATTACTTACAATTATATTTAAAAAAAATACCACCTTTCTATTTTCAACGTTTCGCATTTCATAATGTTTCATTATTTTTTTTATCAATATAATCTAGTTCATTTAAAATGCAAATTTCTTTTATACACATAAAGGGAATTTGTGCACGCAAACCATTTACAGCTCACTTCGCCCCTCCTATACAACTAATACCATTCTGACGCAGCAGTGAACCTCGCCCTTTTTGCTATCCCACCCCCTTTAACCGAAACGTGTGCAACTCGAGTTTCCCTGTCCGATTTTATCGCTTCTAAAACGTCGTCTTTGCGAAATTGGACGCGTCGCGCCAGTCATCAAATCGGAGATTTCCTCCCAACGCTTTTATTTGCGATTATAAAACGTAAATTTCTTTATTAAGCCGATCCGAAAGTTTGGCTTCCTTCGGGTTGCCTCGCAAACGTTATTGTTAAAAGTTTCCGTTTTTGGCCTAGTTTGTCTTTTCCTTCAAATAGAACTTTCGCAGTTATCTACAAAATTGAATCTTAGATTTACAATATAATAATTTTATTTAAATTTTTAGGAAAACTAAATTTAATATAATATTTCATTAAAGTTCATAAGGGTGTAATTTAATAAAATAATACTTTTGAAATTAATGAAATGCAAACGCAATAACTGTAAAATGAAATCAGGTTTGTTTGTTAACAGCCGCAATAACGTAAATACAAAGCACCCCGTTGTAAGTGAACACAGTTAAAAACGTCCCTTTTTTGTTGGGGGTTTTATTCGAGCGTACAAATTGATACCAGTCCCAATTTATTTTACATCGTAACGAGTTTATTGGTTTTGAGTTCATCTGGTCTATTATGGAACTCCGATCGATAATACCGCAACATTTTCTATTTTGAAACCGTGAAAATTACCTCTTCGGACATAATAATTACATTGGAATTATAATCGAATTAATTTACCACTTGGAAATCTCAACCCTTTAAAATTAAACTTGTAAATTTATTTATTTACGAACGTTTTCAAATCAAATAGTATATTTAATAAAATCGAACTTTAGTAAACATTCACAAACAAAAACTGAATAAACACAATTTTGACAATTATCCTTGTTCTGTTTACAATTTTATTTATGTTTCCAAAATTTTTATTACATCTCAAATAAAAATCTTTTATTTATTAATTTATATGAAATAAATATTGGATTATATGAAATGTATGATATCGTTCTCTTTTATTTTAAAGGCGTATCGGTCGTTTCGTTGGATAAAGCTCTTGAAACGAACCATTTGCCGGCCAGAGTGGGCGACAACGTCGAGATCAAGTGCGACGTGACTGGTTCTCCCGTACCGCCGATAGTGTGGCGACGAAATCAGCTCGACCTTTCCAGTCTCAACGAAGAAGAGGTCAGGGTCTTCAACGACGGCAGCCTGTACTTGACCAGAATACAGTTGCAGCATGCCGGAAACTACACGTGTCACGCCCAAAGGAACAAAGATGTCGTTCAAACGCACATCTTAACAGTTCATAGTAAGAAATTTCTTTACATACATATATAGTCTTCTTTATGTCATTTTCAATTTAAAAAATTTTTTCACGAATTGCATTGATTTAAAAATTAATTTGAATAATATACCCAAAATAGAAATAGAATCCAGATACATGTTTTTATAGGATATTTATTTCATTATGCAAGTATGGATACTTACTCAACAAAACGGAATATACAGGCTGTTTCATAATATATGCGCAGGACTTCAGGATGTAATAGCTTGTCCAAAAAATATATATAAAGTTAGCGACAAGAAGAAATGCAGAAGAAAGTGCAAAGAATTTTCCAAATGTAAGGAAAAGAAAGGAAAGGGTGAAGCAAGAGAAAGGAAAACGTAGGGGGAAAGAAAGTTATAGAGAAACAAATAAGTCAGCCACAAGGAGAACTCCGTAAATAAGAAAAGAAAGCAAAGTAAAAGGAATTAAGCTATGAGAGCTAGGAACAAAGATACTGAAAGCAGTGAGAAACACACATGATGTTGAAGGAGCCAAAATGAAGGTGGAAAGACGTCAGAACAAAGAAAGACAGAATCCAGAATAAAGAGAAACTGAATCAAAATAAAGTTACCAGAAGAAAGAAAATTACAAGAAAGTTAGAAACAGAAATGTAGAACAACCTAATAGATAGGACAAAGGCATAAAATAGTAACAAGAAAAAGCAAGGAAGATGCCAAAAAAGTATAAGATAAAAGTTAACAGGAAACGAGCTAGAAAGAAATCCAGAAAGTATAATGAATCCAGAAGAGATCGAAAGGAGTCATAAATAAAGAGAGAAACAATAAGTTTCAAAGCGGAGATTCAGGATAATAACTGTACATAAGAAAGCAAGAAACAGAAATTTAGATCAAATCATAGATAAGACAAAAAGATAAAACAGTAACCAAGAAAAAGCAAGGAAGGTGCCAAAAACAAGGTAGAAGATAAAACTGATAGGGAATTAGAAAGAAATAATCCAAAAAATAGTATAAATCTAGAAGAAACAGATTGAGAGAAGTCAAAAGTATTGACAGAAACTGATAAGTTTCAAACCTGAGTATCAGGAAAAGCGCAGAAAAGCTATAGATAACAGAAACTTTATTAAATGATATGATAGCAACGTAAAAGAAACATGTCAGTTGCTAGGAATAAAGGAGAACGTAGAAATTCGATAAAACATTACCATAATTAACCCAGAAATTAAGATTAATTCAAATAATTCAGAAAAAAAGACCAAGGAGGATGTCATAAAGAAGCCAGAGCAAAAAAAAAATAGAGAAAATCCAAAACAAAGAGAAAAACAAAAGACTGAAACTATCTAACAAGTTATAAAAAAGGATAAAATACTAACCAGGAAAACGCAAGCAAGATGTAAAAAAACCATGCAGAAAAAAAAAGTTGCCAGAAATAACCAAAAAATACTTCTTTTTGGTTATTTCTGGCAACTTTTTTGCTGAATTGAGAAAAAAAAGAACGAAAAGAGTCAAAAATAAATCATTAGTTGTACTTAGCTTGTCTCAATATTTTGAGATACAGGAAAATGAGCAAAAAAGCCATAGTAAATAAGTTGCTACAAACAAAAAAGATAAACTATATGAAGAAAAAAGCAGAATTAATTGAAACGTTTGGAAAAATTCAGAAAAAAAGTAAAAAATGTGTTTTGCTACGGTTACAGTGGGCGCGACATGTGGCGAAAATGGAGGGAAATTACCAAGGGTGATTTTGGACAGCCAAATGTACGGGAAAAGACCAATGGAAGACACTCGAAACGATACGAGAATGAAACAGTCCTGCGATCTTTTAGATATTCAAGTGTGATAGAAAACGGCAGGAAATAGACAGGTGTGAAGGCCAGGCTTGGGTTGTAGTGCCATATGTAGAAGATCGTTTAAGCCATTGGTGTGATACAATGAAGTTTTTACGTAATTGAGGCACTTAATGTCTATGATCATTACAAACACAGCAGCTCAGGTAGTACCAATAGCTTGATTTAGATGGTTTGTACCAGTTGATTTTGGATATTAATAGTACAAGCTTCCTGAAAGAGTTTCCAATTTCATTTTGGCGTCATCTTTGGAGACTCATGGTTCTTTAGGATGGTATTGTTTTAGTGTTACAACAACGCTGCAGTAACATTTCTCCACTGACTTTGAGCTACAGCATCGGTTCGATGAGAAATGGGTTTACAACTTTCTTAGCTGAGCTAGGAGTTTCTAAAATAAACTTCGTAGCATGAGGTGTTCGTTGGGATTGCATTGATGTGCTTCAAACTTGCTGTTTTCTTTGGAGTTTTGAGTTGTGGGACTAATAATACCATGTGTTGAGTCCTTCAGGAAGCCTTGCTGTTCAACACAGCTCCTAGATATTCTATAATTCATCAGTTGTGATGACTATGTATGTGTCGTAGGTGATTAATTTGTTGCTTAGCTTCTTTCTCCTTTAGTTTAATGTCCATGACTTTATTTCTGGTAATTTTACCGCAGTATCTTTTTACTTCGCTTCTAACAGGTTGGAATTGAGGAAATAAGTTGGAATTGATCTGTTACATTATCTACCGATGACGAGAATCGGGGAAGAATCTGACAGAATCTTTTTGAGGCTGTCAAGAATCCTAAAGCATCATTGCCAATTTCAGGGTTTTTTTTATTCTGCTTTTTGTAGTCTTAGGAAATAGTATTTTAATGTACTATTTAGACATCTTATTTTCATTGCGGAATTTACACCTTGTGTGTTTATTAGTAGTATTGCTAATATATTCAGTTGAGTTTGTTAACTACAAATGTAAATGTCTGTGGCAAGCACAAATATTGATTGCACGAGAAACTATGTTGAGATGGAATAGTTTATAATTGAGTAATTTTGAAATATCGAAACTTAACCGCCGATGCTGAGGCATGTACAAAGGACTTGGTACAAGTTAGAAGTTTCAAGGATAACGAGCCATACACGTCAATTAATTAAGGGATATACAAAGTTTAGAATGAATAGGTTGTTTGTTTCTGACATAAAAGATAAGATCTCTACTTAAAACAATTAGAGTTGATTTAATAATTTTTCATAACACTTTGTAATCAGCCCAAAACTCAAAATACGTAGTTCGCCTGTACCAATTACCATCTTAATCCACAAACTTGGTCCCTTATCTGGGTCTCTTTATCTTAACCGCTGCCACAAATCATCGGAGAATGGGCTACCTCGGAACGCTCACGGTTCCACCGAGACGGCAAGAATCCTTTTCGGGGTAAAAAGATCCTTTTCTTACCGGCCATTTGCCGACGTGCCGTTAAAAGGTTATCTCCACCCCGTGCGCGCTCAATTGTTTGTTAAAAACCGAGTCAAACTCGTTATACGATCGTGATTTTGCTTTGTTCCATCCTCTTTCTTTCTTAACTCCGAGCGACCTTCAGCTCACAGGAAATTTGTTTCCGTTTTTACGGGCTTATTGGAATCTTTTGGTAAATGATCCAGAAATAAAAAAAGTTTTATACCCAAAAACTTGTTCTTCCGAAAAAATGTTCTTTTATTTTCTTTGTAGCCGTCCCCGAAGTTCATGTAACGCCGAGAATTCAATCAAAAAGACCCGGAGAAGATGCAACTATGTATTGCCACGTAGCCGGAGAACCATTCCCCAAGGTAAATTTATTACTTTTAAATTTAGTTTTCTAATCAAATTATGCCTTTGTTTGTGATCATATAACGAATAAGTTAATCCTAAAAATTTCATTACCTTTGTTAGTTACCGCACGCGCACACAAAGGGGCTGTTTCTCCGTCGATAAGACGAGACGCCCCGAGACCCCGTCGGCCAAACACTGAGCCACGTTAATGATCCAATAAAGACCGGGCGCCTCATCAAAACTTTCCTAGTAAATCCGACTGTAACAAACCGGGGGAGCCGGATAACACCAAAACCCCCTCGCTTTACCCCGCAAAACCGGGCGAACGAAATTATTGCTGTCGTTGTTTTACCTTTTCTTTGCCACCGCTCGAAACATCGCTATGTAGCATTGCGGGTTGGAATTAAAATTTAACGACGACCCTGTCCGACTACCACCAGGATAAAGTTTGCAAATCGCGTATTTACTATGTTGCCCCTAGCTGTAATGCAAGGTCCGTTGAGTATTGGTTATAAGGTTATCCAACTCGAACAAGTTAACAGTTGACGGGGTGAGGTAGGAAACGTGACGTCATTTTTAGGAAAATTATAATATAATATACAGGATGTCCATTATGTATGGAACTATGGAATATAGTATACAGGGTGATTTATAACATACTGAGCAAACTAAAAGGGTAGGTTCAAGGTGTTCCCTAAATTGTAACGCAGCCATTTTGGCTTTTAAACTTTTTATAATTTTGTTATAATAATATAAAATAAGAGAATGGATTTAGCTGCTGAAGTCGCTTGGTGTCCCTCCGATTTGTTTTCCTTATATTTTGCTCTTCATTATTGACGGTAACTAAAATTTACATTCTGTACACTTATTATATTTTTCTCATTTTGTGAGTGAGGGTTTTTTCTTGAAACCGAAACAGCTGTAGCACCGATTTGCCAGTTTTAATAAACTATTTTTCGTCGTACAAAGAACACCAGGGTATTTTAATTTAAAAGGGTAGGTACTAGGGGTCAAACTGAAAAGATTTGCTTAATAATGTTTTGTTAAAAACTTAATAGTTACATAGATATCGCATGTTAATTTTTTAAATAATTTAACGTCCATTTTTGAGAACCGCTGATATTCAGTAAAGAACGATAAAAATATTTGTCACTGTCATCCTCAGTTTTGAAGGAGCTGTAAATGTAGACAATTTATTATTTCGGTAGTTGTAATTTTAGATAATACCTAATTTGTTTGCTAATTTGTTAAGTTTTGACGTTAAATGACATGTCCGCTGCTAAGTAACCAAATCAACTGGATTGGTAGCAATAAAAACATGGTGTCAAAAAAACACCAGTTTTTGAGCATTTTAACAAATTTATAAATAGCCGTAACTGCTATATTACCAAGAGTTTAAATAACCCCGAAATACTCGCAGTTTGAATTTAAACGTAGTGTAATATCGTATATGGTAAGAAATGCTCAGCCATTAGTTCAACTTTAACGTTCTATATCTTTGTGATTATTAAGTTGTGGTCAAAACATTATTAGTACCTTTTTAGTCTGCTCCGTATGTTATAAATCACCCTGTATATGTTGGTAAGTATCAACTTTATAAAAAAACAATTTATACAAAAGTTGTTTAATATTTTGTTTGCCATAATAAGGCATTCAATTGCCTTTTTATTTCAGAAAATAAGTGAGCAACGAATAACACTTGAAGTTTTTTAAATGGCAATGTATCCTTTCCTAAAAATTTAACTAATAACATGAATCTAGATATCCGAGATCGTCAAATACCTCGAATTCCGAACACTAGATATAGAACTAGAAACATTAGGGTTTAGCCGTCTTTAGGGACGTGCGGCTAAACCTGAATGATTCTAGTTCTAAGTCTAATATTAGTTCTATTTTTACTGAAATAGAAGACGCACCCGAATTTTTCTAGTTCTAGGTCTAATGTTCGTTCTAGTTTTAGTGCAATAAAAATATACAACATTGTGACATCTAACAACATCATGTTTGGACTCATATTAATGGTTTATTTTAACCCTTCCTCTGTAAACCTGGGTATTTCCTGTCCGGACTACAACTGTTTAGGCAAATAATTTCTTCATTTGTATAAAAAAATATGTATGCAAAAATAATTTTTTCGATATTTTATGATTGATTTATCAAGTTGAAGGTTTCGAACATTATCATGAATTGTTTATAAAAATTTTTGAGTGTATTAACAGGATGAAAAAACGGCCGAACCTGAAAGACCCACCTTTACAGACGCAAGGTGCTAAAAAACCGTTTACACACGAAGGGTTAATAAAGAATACATCATGAAAGAACACCATGAAGTTGTACATTTGTCTATTATATGATAACTAACTTCAGATTTAATATGTCAACCTTAATTTTGACATATTTGTAATCTTCATTAAAAATCCTTTAAAATGAGTACAAACACGACATATTTATCTTCAATATTAATGAAGTTATGGTCAACTTTCGGTTACAAATGTTAACGTCAATTTTGACATATTTGTAATCGTCGTGAAAAATCCTTCAAAATGAGTCCAAACGTGATACGTTTAATTCCATATTACTCGAGATATAAGCAACTTCCGATTTGAAATGTCAATGTCATTATGACATATTGTTAATTTTTATAAAATGTCTTAATATTTGTCACAAAAACAAAAATATAATAAAAAAAAATAAAAAATTAAGGTTGGTATTAATATTTAAAAATTAAATTGCGTCCCTATATCAAGAATATCATTTTACTAACTTCGGGTTAAACGTTTTTTATTCTAACTTTTTTGTTTTTTTAAATTCCCTAGATTTACAAAGTACCGCGGTTTGACGCTATTTTGGCTCGAAAGTCAAGCGGGAAATTTAAAACTATGTCGAAAGTCCTTCTTACTGCCATTTTTGCAACTCCAAAGGCAGCATTTTTGTAAATAAGTGATGAGATGCAGTGACAAGCTGTCAAACCGCCATTTTTGCTCGAAAACAGGCTTCATGAACCGCGGTACTTTGTAAATTTAGGGACTTTAGTTTTTTGAGATAAGTGCGTCATCTTTGGACTCATTTTAAAGGGTTTTTAATGAAGTTGACAAATATGTCAAAATTAAAAGTTGAAAGTTCGAACTTTTTGGTTTCTTGAGATAAATGCGTCAAGTTTTTATTAACTTTAAAGGTTATTTCATGAAGATTCCGAATATAATAATAAAATTAAAGTTGACATTGACAACTGAAAGTTTTTTTCACGACTAAACACGACTGTTTCTAGTTCTAGGTCTTGTGTTAGTTCTAGTTTTACACTATCACTAGAACTAACACTAGAAATATTCGGGTTTAGCCGTGCGTCTAAACCTAAAACCTTAAACCTAGACCTAGTTCTAAGTCTAGTGTTAGTTCTAGTTTTAAATGTTATTTAACCCTAAATTCTTGTACATTTTAATTGATCTAAAAATTTTTTTTTTGATTTAATCCACTTACCTTGCTTATAATTTCATCCATTTACCCATTTTGAATTAAATACAACCTTTAAATCCAATTAATTATGTGTTTTTCATTAAAAAAACTTAAATTCAACGTCAATTTTGACAAGCACCTGCAATATTTGGATCTTAATCACCATGGTAACCGAGTCAAGTTGGATAACCTTAAAATAATAAAATTTTATTCCGATTTTTTTATCAATTCTACCCTAATTTTTATTAATTTTAAAACAATTCGAATTCTTTACGATTATCTCGCATTCATAACAAATTCGTTAATCGTTGTTAATTTAAATCGATTCTAATTAAGAAAAATAAATTAAAAATCTCTTTTTTTGATTTAATCCACTTACCTTGTTTATAATACCCTAGATAAACCAATTTTGTGTTGAATACAGCCTTTTAAACTAATTAAATAAGACTTTTTCCTTAAAAAACTTAAATTCAATTTCAATTTTGACAAGCACCTACAATATTGGGTTATTAATCACCATGGTAACCGAGTCAAGTTGGATAACCTAACAATAAAAAAATTATAACCGTTAATATTTCGCTTTACATTCTAATATTTTTTTAATTTCATATATATTTTTGTATATTGCTTCTTAAGTGAAATACATTGAATAAATAAAAACATAGAAATGTTAATTCTTCCAATGAAGTCGCAGCAAGGCCTTGCGAGGGGATACGTTCATATGTAGTTGGATAACCTTATACAGTATGGTTATTGAACGGACCTTGGCTGTAATGGAGAGAAAATGTTTGATAAAACATTCCAAAAAATTCTCGTGTACATGTATTACTTTGTAAGGGCACATTTAACAATGTGCATATAAAATTGGATAAGTTTAATCTTATTTTGTCGTCGACGTTTTTAATAATCAATCTCAAAAGTTCCATTTCTTAGTCATAACTTAGTCTGAAAAGGTATTTCTACCCGACGAGCTTCGTAATGTGATATTATTCCGTTGTATTATTACGTCGCAGTATCAACAAGCGCCATCTTTAATTAACTTAGCACCGGGTCGCGTCTCTCCAAATTTAAAAGACGTCTTCGTCGTCGTCGTCCCTGGTTCGCCTAATAAAAATTGATGGAACTTCCGGGCCCGATATTACGCGCGTCGCGAACCCCGTCGGTCCTTAAATTACATTTAACTTTACGCGCTTCAATTTCTCGACGTCTCTGTTATTTTTTTTTTATTCTTCGTTCAACCCTCTTCTCTTGCGAGGTCTACGGCAGCGGAAGAACTAATATGATTACGGTCCGCCGACATTTCTGTTCTTGGGAAATAATACGATATGTTATTCTTTTTTATTTCTTACCATCCACTTTTCTTTTCTGATTTATTTTTGTGCGCAGGTGTTGTGGGGGAAAAGGTTTCTTAAATGAGGTGTTATTTTTTTTTTTTTTGGTTATGCAGGTTGAATGGTTAAAAAACGATGAATCTCTTAGAATGGATAATGGACATAAATATCAAATAGTTGGAAATGGAACTGCATTGAAAATTAGGAAGATTTCTTTTGCTGATACTGGAGCTTATATGTGTCAAGGTACTAGTATAGGTAAGATTTCTTTAATTATGATATACAGGGAATTTCATATACAGGGGCGGCGCTACCGGGGGGTGCAAGTGCTAAAAAAAGTTATCATTTTTGTTTAAATTAAAATGCATTTTTAATTTTCCGCACCCGGGCGCTCATATACAAAAGCCTTTGATAGTGTACATCACTTAATCCTTTTAACCAAGTTGGAGAGACTTGGCTTTAGAGGTATTAGCTTGTCATGGATGAAATCCTATCTATCAGGGAGGTTACAATGTGTAGTTGGCCACAATGAACAGGGAACAGAAATAAGATTAGTTTGTAGAGAAGTCAAGCTGGGAGTACCTCAGGGTTCTATATTGGGTCCTCTATTGTTCCTCCTGTATGTGAATGACTTACCACGTGTAACGAACAACATTACGATAATGTTTGCGGATGACACAACGACTGTGGCGAGGTGTAGCACTGATTATGAAATCCAGAAATCACTTACTATGGATCTGAATAAACTTGCGGTTTGGTTTGAAGCGCACAACATAAAGTTAAGTACCAAAAAAAACGAAAATTGTTAAATATCATTTATGCTCTGACCAGATCAAGGCGAGGTATCGGGATAATGTTGAAGAGATTTCGTTTCTGGGTTGGAAAATGGATCCTGGACTGTCTTGGGCCAATCATATTGATTTCCTTGCTGGCAAGATCAGTCATTTCTCCTATGCCATTCGGATTATTTCCAGGTCAGCTGGCATTGAGGCAGCATTAAGTGCCTATTATGCTTATGTCCATTCCTTGTTAAGATATGGAGTTGTCTTTTGGGGCCGTGGTGTTGGTATAGATAGAATCTTCATACTACAGAAGAGGTGTGTAAGAGCAATCTTTGGTCTAAAAAATACTGATAGCTGCAGAAGTTACTTTAAGGACTATAAAATACGTACCTTGTATGGAATTTATATTCTGGAATGTGCTGTATTGGTTAGGAAGAATTACTTTGAATTTTTCAAAAAATTTCCTCGAAACACGCACGGGAAGGTGAAGTGCTATCTGGTGCCACCAAAAACGCACCTTACTAAGATTCAGAAGACGGCTCTGTACCAGAGTATCAAGATCTTCAATCACATTTCGGAAGGTACAAAGATCCAGGATTCCGGAGAAGACTGAGAGCTATTGTCACGGAAAATCCGATGTATACCATTGACATGTTTTTCCAATTTAATGTTTGAACTCAATGTGTATTATATTGCAATGTAATTATTGCTAAATTGACGTACTCTACGCTTTTTTGGTAAAATGGGGGGAATAAAGTATTATTATTATTATAACTCACAATACATGAATGAAGTAACCATAGTTACGAAACTACTATGCACTTGTGTTGTCCCACATAAAATGCAACATAGCTATTTGTAGATAGTAGTCGTTTAGGTCATTTGCCTCTAGATGTGATTCGGTTACTTTCCTTTGCACCAGTTTTCCGGTTTCCTATTTCACAACATTCCATGCAGCAGCTATCTTATTTTCAGAATTATTCATATAATCTTTGTAAGATTCTTTTTTGTTTCATCTATTAGTCTTCTGAGATCTTTCTTTTTAGCCTTATACAGATCCCTGAATTTACTATCATTCGTAACTTCTGCTACAGTGAAGATTGCATCCAGATTATTCTTCATTCTTCTTAGTTCGTCCGAATCTATTTTTGTATAAATTGTATTTGTTTTATCTTTTTTGTGATTTCACGAAAAGCCGTCTCATAACACGATGTAACTATGTTATGAAACTCAGTATAGCTGGTTTGGGCATCAGGTCTTTGATCTTTTATTCTTGTCCAATCACTTCTTTTTAATAGATTTTCCTATTACGAAATGTAAAATTTCTTCCATTTTTCCCAAAAATTGTATATAATTTCCATCTGGTGAGTGATACACGACTAAAAAAAAATGGAGTTCCGTACTGGGATTTTAACTGCGCAAAGTTCAATGTTTTTTTCTTTAATGTATTGGTCTAAATCAATTGACTCAGAAGAATATTCTTCATCTATCAATAGTAAATCTCCTCCTCTTGGAAAAACATTCCTACAGTTACAAGATCCAACATAATACGGCTAAACCGGAATAATTCTAGTTCTAAGTCTTGTGTTAGTTCTAGTGATAGTGCTAGTGCAAAACTAGAACTAGAAACATTCGGATTTAGCCGCACGTCTCTCAAGACGGCTAAACCCGAATGATTCTAGTTCTAGGTCTTGTGCTAGTTCTAGTGATAGTGCTAGTATAAAACTAGAACTAACACTAGACCTAGAACGGTGCTAAACCCGATACTTTTTGGTTCTAGGTCTAGTATTAGTTCTAGTTTTAATGCCATATAGTGATATTTTATGCTAACTAGCGCTACCTACCTAGACCTAGAACTAGAAATATTCGGGTTTAGCCGCGCGGCTCTCAATACGGCTAAACCCGAATGATTCTAGTTCTAGGTCTTGTGTTAGTTCTAGTGATAGTGCTAGTGCAAAACTAGAACTAACACTAGACCTAGAACTAGAAACATTCGGATATAGCAGCATGTCTGTCAAGACGGCTAAACCCGAATGATTCTAGTTCTAGGTCTTGTGTTAGTTCTAGTGATAGTGCTAGTGTAAAACTAGGTTTTAGTTCAATAAAAATATGCAACATAGTGATATTTCATGATAACTAGCGTTACCCACCACCTACCACCCGTTTTAAAAGAGGTACGGCTAAACGGAATGTTTCTAATTCTAGGTTTAGTGTTAGTTGTAGTGGTAGTGTTAGTCTAGTTTTATTTGTTATTCAGCACTAGATTTTTGTATATTTTTATTGAGTTATAAGTTATAACGGACACTGCGTTCCCCGTATTGATCCGTTATAGCGAGCTTTTACTGTAATATCAAATTATATATGCATTTTATGTGGAACAAAGTAAGTAGGTGCGCCCTGATTTCTATGGAAATATATTGTTGTATATTACATCTAAACCCTTTGTCTACCAGCGGTACTTAAAAGTCTCGAAAAATATACGTACGTTCAGCTAATTAAAACTAACGTGATTATTATTAGAATTTAAGTGAGACTTAAAAGTACCGATGGGTGATAAATGACGTTTTATAAAATTTAATTCTGATAGGGAAGGGGTTAAGTGAAATTCATTGTACATAGACCGTTTTAAATTGCTCATATCGAAGCTGTAACATCTTTAGAGTCTTAAATATTAAATAGTTGATACCTTTCTAACTTTTTTATTGCAAATAAAAAGTAAGTGATAGAAGTGATTGCTCTTTTTTGAATCAAAAGAAACCTGCTGACAATGCCTAATACAAAATCTGCTGACTCAAGTGGTGAGTCTGAAAAGAATGGCTCATTTTGTAACATAAGGGCAAAAGTATTTGTAGCTATCACGAGTTTGTCCATGTCATATCGAGAATATCGCGGTGCTTGTTGTTTCTAAGCAAAGCGTTTCTAAGGTTTTTGTAATTTTCTAAATAATTTTTATTAACTAACTACACATTAGTTAGTTAATAAAAATTGTCATATACCATTTTAAAGAAGAATCTTGAAGCTTTAATCTGGTATATAATTACTTCTCCATCTTCGTAAATAACCCCATGAGGAATTTTTAAAATTTGAGTGATATTTAGACATTTTTGTGTTATGCTAAAAAACAAGTTTATCTTCCCGATTTTTTCCAAATAATTTTCATTATCTAACCTAGTATCTATCATATATCATTTTAAAAAGGAATCTTTAAACTTCAATCTAACATAAAGATCATTTACCCATCTTCATAAATAACCCAGTCAAGAATTTTTAAAGTTTACGTGATATCTAGACATTTTTCCGCTATGCTAAAAAACAAGTTTATCTTCCTGTTCGTTTTCCAAATAATTTTCATTATCTAACCCAATATCTATCATATATCATCTTAAAGAGAGATCTCTAAGCTTCAATTTGGTATAAGGATTATTTCCCCATCTTCAAAAATAACACCATCAGGATTTTTTTAAGTTTACGTGGTACTTAGACATTTTTGCGTTATGCTAAAAAACAAGTTTATCTTCCTGTTCTTTTTTCAAATAATTTTCATTATATAACCCAATATCTATCATATATCATTTTAAAGAGGAATCTTTAAGCTTCAATCTGGTATAAGGGCTATTTCCTCATCTTCAGAAATAACCCCATCAGGCATTTTTAAAGTTTACGTGGTATTTGACATTTTTGCGTTACGCTAAAAAACAAGTTTATCTATCCGTTTTTTTCCAAATAATTTTCATTAACCAACCTAATATGTATCATATATCATTTTAAAGAGGAGTCTTTAAGCTTTAATGTAACATAAAGATCATTTCCCCGTCTTCATAAATAACCCAATCAGGAATTTTTAAAGTTTACGTGGTATTTAGACATTTTGCGCTGTGCTGAAAAACAAGTTTAGCTTCCCGATTTTTTTCAAATAATTTTCATTATCTAACCTGATATGTATCATATATCATTTTAAAAAGGAATCTTTAAGCTTTAATGTAACATAAAGATCATTTCCCCGTCTTCATAAATAACCCAATCAGGAATTTTTAAAGTTTACGTGGTATTTAGACATTTTGCGCTGTGCTGAAAAACAAGTTTAGCTTCCCGATTTTTTTCAAATAATTTTTATTATCTAACCTAATATGTATCATATATCATTTTAAAAAGGAATCTTTAAGCTTCAATCTAACATAAAGATCATTTCCCCATCTTCATAAATAACCCAGTCAGGAATTTTTAAAGTTTATGTGTTATTTAGACATTTTCCGCTAAGAAAAAAACAAGTTTATCTTCCCGATGTTTTTCCAAATAGTTTTTATTATCTAACCTAATATGTATCATATGTCATTTTAAAGAGGAATCTTTAAACTTCAATCTGACATAATGATTCCATCTTCAGAAATAACCCCATCAGGAATTTTTAAAGTTCACGTGGTATTTAGACATTTTTGCACTATGCTAAAAAACAAGTTTATCTTCCCGATTTTTTTCCAAATAATTATCATTATCTAATCTAATGTGTATCATATGCCATTTTAAAGAGGAATTTAAGATTTAAGTTTGCACCAAACCTCTATTATTCCTGCATCAAGTCCCCAACAGTTCTGCAAAAAAGGAAATTTGTATCAAGACTAATTTAAGATACATCAAGTTTGCATCAACTCTCCATTATTAATGCGACGAGTCTACATCAAGTCTTCTTTTCTACATCAAAATTTCTTCGCATTTGCAACAAAACCGAGTTTAGACTTTATCATATCTGCATCACGATTTTCAAATCTTCCTAATATCGCCATCCAATCTCTATCAAAGATGCAACAAGATTTATTCAAGTTTGCACCAAATTTATTATATCAAATCTCCACCGACTCTTCAATACTTCATCACTTTCAAAGAATCAAAGCAGAGAAATGTCAAAATCAAAATTTGTATCGATTTCGCCAATTTGGACCCTCTGGTTGGAACACATCACTATCTAATTCGACATTTGCTAATACAATATTTATTTAGGTTAGTAGGAATAACGTATTTAACATCTAATTTAGCGAGAGTACCCTAATGTTATCACGAAGGGATTAACGTCCAGAAGGATATCCCATAATAGCTGGTTTTAAATCTTTGTTATACACTAATTTAATATTGAATATACTCAATATTTCTTAAAAAGAAACGCTTTATTAAATAATTACATTACGTCGTTGTAACTAGTCTTAAGTAGTATAAACCACACTACGTTCTCTGTCTGCAGCTTAAGTTTTGCTTTCATCGTACTAATTAGTATGGTCGAATTGTACATATCCCCGAGGGCGAGAAACGTCGAGCACTAACAGAGAGAAGCAGCACGGTGGCTAGTAAATTAGCTGGTGCGGTTTGAGGTTAGGAGCCGCCGGCTAAAACCGCCAGTTTTTGCTCGTCCGCCTTGTTAACGCTAATTTAATTATAACGAATAGATCCCGTACAGTCCCAAAAATTTGTATATCCATTTACTCGATCCGAATGCCGGGGGGAGTTGCGCCAGGATTCTAGAGACGGGGAAAATCCCCCTTACATAATTCACGTATTCCTTCGAACCGTCTTCGCCGGCGCGCCCCATAAATCCTCGGCAGGCCCGGCGTCCCGCTAATTCCACGCGAACGATAAATCAAACCGGGCGCGATACCTTAAGGGAATTATCAATTCCTATAATTCAGCTTTGGTACGACGTTTTCAGGCGGCTTGACAAGGGACATCAGCTCTCTCGTCGTCCAGGAACAACCGACGCCGAGTAAGTGAAGAATTTACCTTCTCGTTTAGATAAATTATCTAAACGTTTAATCGTTAATGTTTAGCTGCACCTGGTGAAGAGAGAAGGTTCTTCGCTTTCCACGATTGGGGCGTCTCCGTCTACGAACCAACAGCATGTAGATTGTATCACCAAATCCAATCTACTGATATTATACCAGGAACACAGGTAAAGATATTTTCTATTTTACATTTACTCTTTAGTACTTCAATCCGCTATTGCCAATAGAAACGATCGAAAATTTATTACCCGAATTTTATTTTTTTGTATTAAATCCATATAACGTAACCCATTTGCATTATAAACTCAGATATTTGCAAAATAACTAAAACTAGACTTCGGGTTTAGTCGTGCGTCTCTTAAGACTGTTCATAATTCTAGGTTTATTAGTGTTACTTCTACTAACTGACAATTAAAACTAAAACTAACACTAGTCCTAGAAAGTTCTGAAGACGTATGGCTAAACCCAAATGTAAGACCATATACTGCTGGCAGAAGTCCAGATACTATTTGCAGAAAACTTGATGCTATTTTCAAAAGACTAAACATAGTTAATGCAGAACCAAATACTGCTACAGCAGAAAACTTGATACTATTTGCAGAAGATTAGACGTTGCTAAAGGAAAGCCATACACTATTTGCAGAAGACTTGATACCGTTAATGAAAGACCACATACTGTTAATAAGAGACAAATTCTGTTGACCGAGGGTGAGGAACTAGAAAAGAATGACAACGGAGAAGAACAAATGTAGGCGGAAATTAAGGGAGGCCAGAGCACAACAAGAGTTGTAATGCCACCGAAAAGAGAAAGATTGTTGACAAAAAACTAGATATTTTTAATAGACCAGACACTATTTCCCAAATACTAAACATTAATACTGGAAGATTAGATACTTAATAAGGTCTAAGATATAATTAAGTCTTGACGCAGACTTGCCTTGATTGAAACATGGTGATAACTGATACAGAGAAGATGTTGATTTTATAAGAAATCCTCTCATGGTATGATAAAAATTTTCAAATCCACTATATTTGAGACAGATTTACTGCAACTGTCAAATCATAACCAGAATAGACATTTTATGCAAAGTTCACAGACTTGATGCAATTTTAATAAGACCTCTGAGATGATTTTATACAATCATAAGGATCCAATAGAACAGTGTTTCCCAAACTTTTGACATATGTATACCTAGAATTTTCGTAACGCTGAGTACCCCTCGTCAAGTAACAATCAAAATATATTTCGTTTTTCTTTTTTTTAGTACATACACAAAATAATAATAAACGAAAAATAAAATAAATAACATTTATTTGGATCAATGAGAAGAATGAAATTGTTTGTGCTGAGATGAGATACAGATCGTCATATTTTGGTAACCTCACATAAATATGAAGTTGGAAAAGGCAAAATGTATTTCAGAACTTTTTTTGTTAAAACCAGATACACATGTTGCATCCTTATGTTTATTTTTCAAGAATCCGTCTGAAGCCAATTCCAACAATTGCTCTTCTTCCGTATGAGACAGACCTTCTGGTATGGATATTGTGTTAATGTTAAACGGATATGTTATCCATTTAATATTTTTCTTTAAATCAAGTATCAGCATCAATTTTAGTAGCCAAACTTGTTATAAACTCATGAAGAGAGGGAAACGAGTCTACTTCTCCATTACCAACTCTCTTTTGCCATAAATTTATGGCAGCGTTCACTTTATCTTGAACGTGAAACAATGAAATTTCTTTGTTTTGTAACGACAAGTACAGGAAATTTAAAACAGAGAGAATATGTCTCCTAAGTATGCTAGTTTACAAAACTATTTAGTCATGTAAACAATTTCTCAACTTAAATAAAGTTCATGTCTAAGTTCAAACAATCGATTTAGAATTTTTCCTCGAGATAGCCAACGAACATCGGTATGAAAAATGTTGCGAAAGCCTCTGTGTGTATACAACAATGTGTGGATATCATATTTGGCGCAAGATTTTGAATTCTTTCAACGAGTTCTTTATTAGCTCCGACCATACTTCTTGCTTCATCTGTGCTTATTCCAACACATCTATTCCAATCAATTTTAATCTCTTTCATATTATTATTCATAACATTAAAGATATCTTTTCCTGTTGTGTGGTCTAATAAAGGCTGGCAAAATAAAAAGTCATAAACTTTTTGATTTTTTCGTATCTAACAAACGTCATACAGATTTGCAAAATTGAGAAATATCAGATAATAACATCTGTTTTATATTATTAGACATATCAATGATTCGTCGATGAACTGTATTATTTGAGAGAGGAACGCGGTCAAAAGTTTGTTTCGCTTTATCTCCTATAATTATCTTGGCTGCAGGATTGATTAAAATTTCGCCGAAGGTTTCCGCTGCACTACATTTTACAGTGTTTTGTCTCAAAATGGCGCTTTAACTTGGATGTTCGTTTGTTGGACTCTGCAATAGAAGTATGATGTTATCTTAATGCAGCCTTGATAAAACATGTTGAACGTTAATGAAAAGATAGTGTTGGGTTACGCGGAGTTCTCTTGGCACAAGGTTGATGGAGACTTAATGCAAATTTAATAAGTTAATAAACCTAAAAGTTTCTAGTTCTAGGTTTAGTGTTAGTTGTAATTTTAGTTCAATAAAAATATATGTATAACAATTAAACACTGAATAACAACTAAAACTAGAATATATACAACAATCTAAGACTGAACAATATCTAAAACTAGAACTAACACCAGCACTATAACTAACACTAGATCTAAAACTAGAAACATTCGGATTTAGCCGTGCGTCTCTTAAGACAGTTAAACCCGAATGTTTCTAGTTCTAGGTTTAGTTTAATAAAAATATAGAACTTCAGACGCACTGCTGACAACAATCTAAGACTGAATCATATCTAAAACTAGAACTAACACTAGACCTAAACCTAAAAACATTCGGGTTTAGCCGTGCGTCTAAATCTAGTTCTAGATCTAGTGTTAGTTCTACTTTCAATTCAATAAAAATATACATTAATCTAACCGATAGTACGTGCGCGTGTATAAAGACATGAAATTTTAATACAAACATAATATGTAAAGGATTAATAATAATTTAGTACACGTTGATTGAAATTGAAAATTTTGTGTCTTAGATGGCCTCTTGCGGCGCAATTGCACAGTATATGTTCAGCTGTTTCTGACTAGTCGTTGCAAAGTCGACAAGTTTGATCCTCAGCTTCTCCAATATGGAAGAGGTGGTATTTTAAGAGTGCATGGCCGGTCAAGAAACCATAGGTCCCCTTTGATTGATGAGGCATAAAACCTCTTTGGTTAAAGAGGCTCGTCTTTTTACTTGAGGCCCATCCTTCGTCCAATCATCCCTGCCTCTAAATATGACCTTATACGGCTGGTTAAAATTGTATTCTGTCGGTATAAGGTTCGTTTTAATTTCAATCAAGTGATTTCGACATGGATCCTTGAGGATTTTCAGCTATCAGCCATTCGTGGTTTTAAGACCGGCAGATCTGGTTAGCCAAAATCGCCATTTTCCTAACCTTGTCTATGTAGGAGTACCAGTTTAATTTACTATCTAGTATTACCCCTAGGCATTTAACTTCTGTTTTGAGGTTAATAGTTCTGCTTTCAATAGAGGGTGCTCTCAATTGTAGCTTCCTTATCCAAGTGAAAGGGACTATTTCAATTTTGTTTGGATTGATGCTGAGTCCATTGTTTCGGCACCAAGTGCTGGTAAGTACTGGGCTTTCTGCATTAATTGTGTTATGATTGTGTCATATTTACCTCGGATTGTGATTATCAGGTCATTAGCATCCTCCTGAATCATGAATCCATTTTTTGTTAAGGTGTTCATCAAATCATCAACTACCAGGCAGCAAAGGAGAGGTGAGAGCACTTCCCCTTGGGGACATCCTTTTAGCGCCTTAATAGTCAACGATTCGCCTCCGACTGGCTGTAATCTGCCGACTTGTCAACATGGCTATACACCATTTGATTGTCGACGGATGTATATCTTTTACGTTTAGACTATTCTCCTCATTCCAAAGCACATAGGGCTATCTCGTTGGTTGCAATTGTCTCCTCTAAAGTGCTTGTCAAAGCATGGAGAGCAGTACTTGTTGATTTTGCTTTATGATAAGCATGTTGACTTGGATGGTATTGATCGATTACCTTTTCCATCCCTTTGAGGAGAAATGAAGTTAGGCTATCAGTTAGACGTTTGAACACCTACCACCTTTAGGTATGCAGACCACCTTTACTTTTCTCCATAGTGTAGGATGTTCTTCGGTGTTAGAAGTTTAGGATTCTCGGGAAATTTAGTTCTCGGGTCTTTCGGGAACAGGATGGAACATTGGACTCGATCTCAGGTATGGTTTCGATTTCTTCGCAGATAATTTAGAAACACTTGTTTACTTTTACTAGATAAAAGTAAATCGAGTTGTCAAAAAAAAATTCTAAGTTCAAACTTAGGTTAGAAATTTTTAGGTTAAATTGACGTAGATTCGACAACGCTTCGCTCTAGCCAAAATTGAACTCTCTCGGTGTCAAATTTGCGCGGCCTTATATACCCTTTTTTTCCCCCTTTTTCGACAAAGGCTTCTTGGATATCCGAATTTGGTCGCCTCAGTTTGAATCTGGGCTCTCCTATTGGTTGATAAAATGGCGGGAATTATAAATTACACAGGTTGGCCAAAATGATTGATTTTTTTAAAGAAAATAACTATCAACTTTGAAAATATTCGAAATTATTAATAAACTTTAAATTTGATTAAGATTTTGTAATTTTGTAGCTAATTTTTCGTTCTTTTAGATAATCGCGCTTTCGGGTGTCAAATTCCTTCGAGGAATTCGTAATTTTATGTTAAAGTTTGGAAAGAAAAAAATGGAATTTAGATATATAAAATGATTCAGAAATGGATGAAATTGCGGCCTAAGGGCTAAATCGACACGATTTATCGATCTCGCATGGTTTTAGAATCGAAAATCGTCTGAAAAGTCGCCAAAATCAATACCTGTCAAAATGTAAATGTCAAGGTCAAAATTTGAATGTCATAGACTTCAATGAATTACCTTTTTTTTTCACAGCGTATATAATATGGATGAGCTAACTGAATATATCTACTAACAAAAATGTGGCTCAAGGTGAATAGACGCAGATGGAAAGCGATAATGTGAAAGTGTAACAAAGATAGACATAAAACGGTACTAAACAGACGGGCGCATGCGCACAAAAGTGTCAAACCTCTTCCATTTGACGTTTATCGTTTTGTTGTGTCACAGCCAGTCACACCGTTATGTTTAAAAATGTATTGTTTCGTGTGCAAAGTTCGCGATAATACAGTTTCACATCACTTGTAAGTATTATAAATGTTACTTCTAATTGCTAGTTTTTTATCTTATAAATTAACGCACGCCCATTATATGTCAGTACGCTTCTATGTCTATCTCGGTTCGATCACCTTGCGCAAGCTATCTCTCCCGTTGGCTCAATCCATATTATATGTATATAATCAAAGCTTAAAACTAAATGAAAATCATAACAAAACTAACTACTTATAGTCTAATCCAAAATTGTAAATTTCTTAAATTTAATTAGTCTTTTTTTTTCGTTTCTTCGGAAACAGGGATTTTATTACAGTATATAGCTAAAGCTATAGCTTGCTTTATATAGGGATATTATTACTGGGAGCAAGTCTTCTATGCCTTTTTGTAGAAAAATAGGCAGAATTCTATCCCCTCTAGGTGATTTTAGGGGCTTAAAATTAGAAATAGCACAATAACCTAAGTGATAGTGTGTATTAAAAGATTAAAGACATGAAATTTGAATACATACATATGTAAAGGATTAATAATGATTTAGTTCACATTGATTGAAATTGAAAGTGATCTGGATACAAATCTCAGTCCGGTTGGTAATCAAGTGTAGGTAGCAAATTGGATGGGCGCTGGAGCGTGCTGGAGACGCGCGGCGGCAGCTGGGCGATGACGATGGTAGCTTCGGTGGAACGGTGTGGCGGTCGATACCACGACGAACGCCGGAAACGTAACCTCAAATACGCTTGGGGCGCCTGCACTGTGTACACGGGATCACGTAACGGGGGCCTCGCCTTGTTAGACGAACGACCCTCCGGCGTTCCGATCAATTTTTAATTGAATTTGATTTTTTTTCTACCCTTTTGTTCTTTCGTATCCTATCAAGTCATTGTTAACCGGCGAGGCGATACTTTTCTCTAACATTATTCTTACCTCTTTAATTTTAATAGTACTAATAATTAATAATATCTTTTTTTAAGGAATACGTTTGTGGTGATAAAGGTGTTAAATGCACTTGGGGTAAAGCGGTAAACGTCGCCAACAGATACGTTTACGCAACTCAACCAGACCGAGATAGAATTTTAATCATTTCCAAGATCCAAATGGTTGTTGTAGATGTAAGTTTATCCCAAAACATTTTCTTTTTTACTCTTTGTTTCCTTTTAGGTTGTAGCTACGGATAAATACCCGGTAGATCTTCATTACGTTCAACATTTAGATCAAATCTGGGTGTTAAATTGGCGTTCATTAAATAACACGGGCGTTAAAACAATACAGGTGAGCTAAATACTTAAACCTTAGAGAGTTGGCTAAGAAGGAAGCGAGTTTTGCAACGTAACTCAACCTCTTAACTAACCGTCCAATATCATCCCCGGCTCGGTTCCAACACTTAACGTGATCGACGATGCCGAAATTGCACTTCCATAGAATAGACCTCGGATAAACGCTAACCTCCCCACAGTATTTTACCCCGGGCGTAGCCCCCTTTGCTCGTGAGGTGTTGGCCGCAAATCCCCCGATAACGGCCCAGCTATTTTTCAGCCATTGTCCCCCGTCGAGATAGAGCGCCGGGAAGTGAGTTATTGCCTTTTTAGCGACCAAACTCGCTTTATAATACGCGACGTTTAGTTTGTTTACGTTTGTATGCGTGTACCGGATCGAAAAATTGGGATTTACGGTACCCGGCAACGATTACGTTTTAGAGAGAACCGAAAAAAAAAAAGATTCTTTCTCGTTCCGATATCGGAAGTACCCATGCCTGGGATCGGGAGGGATAAAACCGAAAAGGGGGAATCTGCGCGCTGTTTCGAATCGAAATGGTCTTTAAACGCAGATTTGCATGAATCGAACCAGGAACGGAGGCTTTTTTTTATCGTTTTTTTTTATCTTTGACTTCTATAAATGGAATTGTAGAAACATAACGAAAGTTTATTGAGTAATAAATTATTTATGTATTTTTATCTATTTAAAGGAGTTTTTGAAATTAAATTTCTTTTAGGTCATAAGGGACGCCGGTCAAAAGAGGAAACATCACACCGTTCATCCAGAACCAATTGACGGACAATTCGATTTAGTTAGAGGTTTATTTATACCTTCGCCAAATCAGGTCAGTTTTTGTTCCCATTTTCACAAAACCACTTAAACAAAGTGGTACTACAATCATTGAAGGGTTTAAAAAGCTTCGTTTTTAATCTTTTTAATTTACTTTGGTTTTTATTTATTCTCGTCAGAGTCAAAATTATCGTTGTTATTACCAATATCAAAACATAACAAAATGTTGTGGTATTTTTCGCACTATAATATAATCCACACAATATCGTGATGCGTGTTTCAACGTGTAGAACTTTGTTACGCTAACTCCATCTCTCGCCGAAAGCACGCGAAGTAATCGAAATGCTGCTTGCCTCGTCTCAATCCTTGTTGTCCCAACTCGGCAATAATTTGAGCTGAGTCAGGTTTTAACACGAGTTACATAAATCGAGACAATATCTCATCCACCCACAACAAAGTCTGCATCGGAAAAAGAAACTTTCACGAATCATTTGTAATTGTAGCAGGGTTTGTGATAATTTTGGCAGAGTTTATTGAACCTTCATTAATATTGGTGGTCATTAAATCAACCAATTTCTCAGAATTATTCAGAACCCAACCCAACTAACTCAATCCTAATTAAGTTGAACCATAAAGGGATTTCATTGCCTTAAAGAGACAATGGCATTTTAAAATATGTTGTTTCATTTTGATTTGGTGCTCTGTGAACTCTTTGTTATGCCATCCTGATAGTTATCTCTTGCTATATTTATTTTAAACTAGCACACATGTCATCTTTCGTCCATCCAAACACCATGTTACCACCTGCCAAGTCATCGCCATACCAAATCAATGTTGAATCTTGCCTCAGAATTAGCACTTCGTCATATATTGATCAATCTCGATATAGACCCCTATGGCACTACTCTATTCACTACATGCACAATCCATTATTATAGATAATCATTCTTCTGTCAAAGTAGCATTTAAGAAAGATTATCCGATATAATAGTACTTTTTTATAAGTGACTGTCCATAAGTTCGATCCTTTGAACTCCTCATTACATTGACCTTGAAGTTCCAGGAGGAGGTTAGTCAATCAGCAAATTATTTGTATTATAACCTAAAGTTATACAAACTTCGACTTCGAAATTGTATCTTCAAAGGTTCCAACTAGTGGTGGAACGGATATCCGGCTACTATCCGCCGTTGACCGGATATTAAAAACCTATTACTCACTACTTCACCATTCACAGGAATTAGTGTCTCTTTTAGATGTTGGATACTGCAGATAATAATTAAGTTCAACCCCAATAGGACTTTTTTCATTTAATACAACTTTATTTATATCAGATTTGTCTTTAGCAACCTCATTGTAACAATCCCAATACGATAGATAAAATCTCTTGTTGCAGTTTAGTCTAGTTTTCTTCTCTTCGCTTGTAATTCATCATCACATTCATTAGTAACAGAACTGTCGCTGTTATCACTTTCGATTATTAATTAAAGTATCCTCTTTTTAATGCAAAAAGCCGTTTTGAAAAATCACTTTTAGTTCTTGAGAAATAAATTTTTGAAATGATCGACAATTTTTTCGAATTTTGCAATTTTCGCCGATTAAGTTTTAAAAATTCGTATAAAATCCATTTCTTGGAATATGAGTATGAAAATTTCCCAAAGTGTTAATAAAAGTGTCCTCTTTCCAATGAACCAACCCGTTTTGAAAAATAACTTTTAGTTTTTGAGAAAACAATATTTGAAGTTTTGATAAAATTTTCGATGTTGCAATTTTCATCGATAATTTTCAAAATTCGCTATAAAATTAATTTCTTGAAGGATCCTTGTGGAAAGATCACCAATTATTAATTAAAGTATCCTCTTTTTAATGCAACAAGCCGTTTTGAAAAATTACTTTTAGTTTTTGAGAAATAAATTTTTGAAATGATCGACAATTTTTTCCAATTTTGCAATTTTAGTCGATTAAGTTTTAAAAATTCGTATAAAATCCATTTCTTGGAATATGAGATTGAAAATTTCCCAAAGAATTAATAAGAGTGTCCTCTTTCCAATAAACCAACACGTTTTGAAAAATAATTTTCAGTTTTTGAGAAAACAATATTTAAAGTTTTGATAAAATTTTCAATGTTGCAATTTTCATCGATGATTTTCAAAATTCGCTATAAAATTAATTTCTTGAAGGATCCTTGTGGAAATATCACCAATTATTAATTAAAGTATCCTCTTTTTAATGCAA